AGTTAATTATTCATTTGTTGAAATAGTTATTTGCAATCACAGACAGTTACTCAACTTGTCTATATATGCTTGAACTAACTTTAAATTAGATAATACTCGATTTTCATTCGATAGTTTTTGGTGACATATCCATTCAACGCAATTAAAGCTACTAGCTAATACTCCATGCTTTCAGTGTGTATAATTAATTAATTGTAATTGTAATTAAATTTGCTAAAACATTTTGAAGATCAATTAATATTAGTATCAATAAAAGAAAGTCCCAAACGTGATTAATGTTTAATTAATTCTTGTTTATTGCTATCGAAAAGAGTAATATAAAAACTTCGTCCGCTTAATGTCGTTAAATTGTTAAATCGAACAGTAAATTCAACCAAGCAACGAATACATCTAAATATTGAAAATGCATTTATTCACGTTTTCCAGAAATTGTACATTTCTAAACAATCGCATGTTTTTCTGCGAACTCAATGCCGTAAACGTCGATACATTTAACAACAGCCTAACGCTAAAGCAATAAAAGTGCCCTCGCCGAGAGAAGTGTTCAACAATAAACGTGAAACGATGCAGAATTTATACTCGCTGGCGTGCAAATGACGAAACAGAGTTCAAACATTCAAGCCGTTATCGTGGACGGTGTTAAAACTTTTTGTTTAATGTAGAAAATTGCTGTTATAAAACGGAGTAGATTTTTTCAAATTAATAGATAGTAGATATAGATATCTATATATTTCAGTATTCTACTAAAATCAATGCTATGTATTACATAAATCGATCAGAAAATAAGTTTTTATTGCAGAGAAAGTGAAACAACCAGAAAATCACAAAACCTAAAATAAGTACAAAACATTTAGTCATAATAATTCAAAAATAGACACAGACATAACCTACATTGTTTAGGTTATAGTATCAAAGAGACAAAAGAACTTTGTTTTGTGCTGCTGGTGGCCTATTCATTTTTATGACTTTTTAAAGTATTTATTGACGTAAACAGATAATCTAAAAGTGTTGTTAACACTAACAGCTCATATTTAAAAGTAGAAAAAACATAAATTGTCTGTTTGTTTTAATTGTAACACATAAAAGAAAAACTGTATGCTTTCCTCAATACATGTGCCGCAACTTAACCATTGATTTTTTTTCAAAGTCATAAATTTATATACAATTTATGGGTGTTTTCCGCACCCAGCTTGAGTTTGTAATACTGGGTTGCTCTTATATCTTATAGTCTTTAAGCTAATATTCTATATAAACTTTATCCACTTTCATTAAACTTTGAAGTCATTTAAGTTATTTAACTTATCGATATTGCGAGCTGGGTATCGTAAAGTTAACCGGAAAAAGTTTTAAACGTATTTTACGATCGCTGAGCCCTAGTTTATAATAAAATGCTTTCCATCCCCACAGCAGGAGTGTGTTTTGCATATTAACAAATTATTAATGTTTGTAGCGGTACACGTAAACAAAATATAATCACTCAATCGTATCGGAAAACAAATCAATACAAATCAATGAATAAAATTAAAACTTGCACATCGTTGGGAAATTTAATTAAAAACGTTCTGTTTCATGCTTGCTATTATAAAACATACTTGGAGAGTGTATTTGAATTTGTAGCACATGAAAGAATTTTTGAATATAAAACTTGTTATGAGCAATATAAAACTTTAATCATGAAATTCTATGTGTTTTTTTATGCGTGCTTTACTATAGTCTTTGTTGCTGTGAAGTACTTTAACTGGATAAGTTTTTCTTTTTTGTTGCCAGTACTTTTTGTTATAACTATGAGTACTGGTTCAGATCATAATCATGTTGAAATTTTACATATCAATACAAAAATCTTTTCTGTTCTTTATATTAAATCTTCAATAAATTTTATTTATTCTAATATTAGTTTTTGCCCACGACATCGTCCCGGTAGTGTTTAATAAAAATGTCATTCCTTTCTACTTTATTGTTCTAGGCATAGTATGTGTCAATTCTATCAATAAGATTCAATAATTCAAATTTTTCTTGTCGTAAAAACTTTCCTTGGACTTTACCAAACATTTTAAAAAAAGAATTGGTCAAATTGATCTAAGCGTTGTTGAGTCATGCGCTTACCAACAGATTTTGCGATTCATTTTTATATTATAAATAAATTAAACATCAAATTACACTTAACACACATTTTAAACTATACTTTAACCTAGTCATAAGCGAGATGTAAAAATAATAGGTTAGCAATTAACCTCAAAGTGTCGGCGTTAACAGGACAAGTATCATAAGCATCTTGAGTACCATAAGCGTTAATTGCAACAAGAGTGCACTACAAATGTGCAAGGTGTGAAGGTGAGGGGTGTGAATGTGGAGACGAAACAGCTGTTGTTGGTTGCTACGATGTTCAGTGCAATGCATTCGTGTTTGTCGTGTAGGGCTCTGGGACACGCCGATGCAATTAGCAATTACATACTAATTAGCGATTGCGGGCGTAAACTAGTTGTTGCAGTTGTTGCGATTTACGTGTTTGGTGAGATAGCACAATGTGCGCAAATGGAACATCTCAGTTTTATAGTGCGGTAATAACAACTAACGATTACTGTTATAAAATTTATAAAATTATATTAGAGAATAAAAACATTAATATAATTTGTCATCAATATGAAAAAGAAATTTTTCTACGTCCACCTTTAAAGCGCCAGCTTTTCCACCATTTTTAAACACAAAAAGTGGTACTTTAAATACGGCCGTGACTAAAGTTCATTACTTACCGGCTTTATACACGGAGCGGAGACGGAGCTTGCATCTGCGCTTTTGTTTATAGTGCTGCACAATACCAAACGAAATGACCAGTCAAACAAATCAAAGCATTCTGCTGCTGCTGTTTCTTACCTTTTCACAAAATCACATAATAACAATTTGTATTTTTATATATTTGGGAATACACAGGTATATTCTCATACAAATAAATCAAAGCACTTATTATTATATTCTTTGAGTTTGATATTTTGACAAATTTGGAATGAGTTGCATGCGTGTCAGTCGACTATATCGTGCAAGCAACTTCCAGTATGATTGGTATCCATACTACCTACGAATTCGTTTCTACTCGTAAATGTAAACGTGACTGTGATTGTGACAAATGCCAATGAATGAATGAATGAAAAAAAATGACATTTACCTGCTCCATGTGGTATTAACCTAGTAGCCAGGGGTGCAAAGTAAACGCCGGAATGTAAAACCGAAATAAGAGAGTAAAAAGAACGAGAAATGAATGAAATCATAATGCAAATTGTCGGTTTGCATGTTGACATTTCTTTGCTTTGCTTTTAGGGTAATTCTTTTAACCAAGTCAGCGTTAGTCATCATTATTCTTAATATTGAGTAAAAATAAATGTGTTTTGCTTATATTCAAAACATTAGAGTGCTTTTATATGATTTAGTTATTTTTTGCCACAAAAAAAGGAAATTAAAGCTTTTTTTTATTTACTACTTGCTTTTGCCCGCGACTACGTCCCGGTAGTGTTTAATAAAAATATAATTTGTTTCTACTCTCTTGTTCTAGACATAGTATGTGTCAATTCTATCAATAAGATTCGCAAATTTATTTAAAAGAAATTAATTATATAAAGTATTGCTATTAATACACTTCACCGCCATCTCGGATTCAACTATTTAACTATAACTGTCATTGAATCACAATGGCAACTTTTATCCTATAGGAAAGGGTTGTCTTTAGGGTTTTTCCGGCAATTATTCGAATTTTTCTCGCCGTTAAAACCATCCTTAGACTTTAACAAACATTTTAAAAAAATAATTGGCCAAATTGATCTAGGCGTTGTTGAGTTGTGCGCTTACTAACATATTTTGCAATTTATTTTTATATTATAGATTTTTATACGACTTATATTTTAATATGAGAAGTTTATGCAAGAAGTTAAAAAGTAGTATTATGATTGTTTTTCTTTGTACACTACATTTATCTTAATTTCTCAAAAACTTTTTTCCTTACTTCTGATGGCAAAACAGTTTAAATAATCCAGTGCTACATAGTTAAGTAACCCATCAAGCGCTTCCAATCTCGGGGGTGTTCTCCTGTTTGACGTTCGGCCGCGTCGTTATATGCTGAATATTTAAATAACAATGGATTTTCTGCCGTCGTGCACACTCGCACACGTCGCGAAATAAAGCGACTCAGTCTCACACCACCTGGCGGAAGGACGCAGGACGAAAGACGAACGGATGAAGCGCATCATCATTCTTAACCGGTTTTCCTCTCGCACGCTATTCGATCGACGGCAAAACGCCAAAAGAAAAATGGCACCATGGCAAAGCGAGGAGCACGAAAAGCATGATGAATTATTCATCGATGGCGAGCGCGGGCGCTTTCTTTACGAGCTCATTTTAGCGTATTACGAAACGATAGCTGAAGGAATGCGCACGAGACCGTGTTATTTCTGGATTCGCTCAAAAACAATCGAAATTATATAATATTGCATCAAAATAAATAAAATCATATGAATAAAACTAAATTATTGTCAAATTTAGTGTATATTTACTGATATTGCCACCGCTGATATAAAAATTATATCATCATCAAAACGGGCAGCCATAAAAATACATCGGGTCTCAAGAGTGAAAGAAAATTGATATTTATCGACTAAAGTCTTTCGGAAAGGAGTTTGTGTTCGAAAAGTCACGTCGCTCGCTGAATATTTATACCAGTCATTCACTCACAAGGACATTTTCGCTTCCAAACAACAAAAGAAAATTGCAACACATTGTGCAGAACAAAGAGTTAATTAACGCATGAAAGTACGCTTATGATGTGTCGTTAAACGCCGACAAAACCTCGTGTATAAAACGAAATATTTCAATTTTCCCACTCGCCAGCTGCGCAATTTATGCCTCAATATTTGCATACAACTCGTAACTCACAAGCATGAAGCGCACGCGAATGTTAATGTTAAAACAAACGCTATTTATCTCCATGGCGACACACGGCCGCCGAGTAAATAAAGCCGCGTTTGCATTGTGCGTGGATGTGCTGTTCGCCGTCGGCCGGGGATCGCTGTACCAGGTTAGGAATTATGTGTTGCTGAATGAAACAGAAGGGAGATACGCACGCAGGCACGCTTCGCAAGTTATAATCTTACTTTTGATGATTTTCGCTTGCCTGCAAACTGCTAAGCGCATCAAGGAAGTGGCTGTGGATAAAGTTTAGAGAAGTGAGTTTTAGTTTATGAACCTAACCTATTTACGTGGTGTATGCAATGTTGCCTATGTTATAAAAATTACACAAATGTTTCTCTACTTGTGTGTGTGTGTATAACATACAATAACAATACGTGTTTAATCAAAATATTAAACCCCTGCGGCGACATGTTGTACACTTTCATTGTTAGCACAAATTAATACGTACAATAACGTTTGCATAACAATAACCTGCAAGTGTGAATCACATGTATCTCGTTTCTGAACGTCAGAGGGCGCTTGTGACAACATAACGTAATTTCATTATAATTGATTGTTAACGTGACAATCTGTAGGTAGATTTAATGTACTAATTACATATTGATTTGTCTTCAATTCATTACCGTTTATTGGTATGTTTATTTAAGTAATAACTAAACACTGGTAGTAAACATTGAATCCAATCATAGATGTTGTGTTGCTATTATTCATATTTTCATATGTATCCTCATGCATCAAATTGAGAAGAACATATATTGCATGAATTCATAAACCACTGAAATATATGAGAAATAACTGCTGCATGCAACATCGTTACGCCTGATCGGTTTTGTCGTCCCGAGCTTGTGTGGAAGTACTCGTATATCCCAATGGGAATGCAGAAGTTGCATTAGGTTATTGAAGAGTTTTGTTTGTTTTACGTCTATCTGTGAAAAAGCAAAGATTCGAGAATTGCAGCGGTGTAACAGCGCAATGTTGCAGACGTTGCAGAATTGCGTTTGCTAACGAAAATACGGTATTTTATTGCCTTTCTTTGTTAGGTTTCGAGATTGGAAATGGGTAGTTAACTTGAAAAAGTTCTCTTACTATCTTTTGGGAACACATTGGCTCAATAAAAATTGTAGTTTCAATAATGAAATTTAATGAAACAAGAAAAGAAAAATTATTCATGTGGGCAATATGGTACGTATTTGATAATAACTCTGTAATATAAACAATAATACGTAAATTTTACGGCTTTTTTTTTATCATAAAACTAGCTTAAGCCCGCGAATTCGTCCCGGTAGTGTTTAATAAAAATGTATATAAATGTATACGTCAATTCTATCAATAAGATTCAAAATTTAATTTTAAAGAAATTAATTATATAAAGAATTGCTAAGAATGCACTTCAGCGCGCCATCTCGAATTCAACTAACATATTTAACTATAACTATGATTGAATCTGAATGCCAACTTTTATTCTATAGAAAAGAACTGTCTGTATATGTGTCTTTGTGTTCCGCTCCATTTGTTATTTGCAATGGCATCTATAAAAGTGTTAGTTATGATTAACATTTATAATATAAACGTAAATATGTAGTTAAAAAAACAAATTTGAAATATGTAGTTTCATATGTGAGATTGCTCAACGGATTAAAGTTTAGCGGATCAAATTTATGACAAAATTGAAAATCGTAAAAACGCCATTTGGCGGGCAATAATCATAAAAATGTTACATTTATAGCATTAATTAATTTAATGACGTTAGCGCAACCAGAGGTGAAACGCACGTGGTATTCAACAACCAATGGTTATTGTAGTAATATCGTGAATTTCCAATTTTCCGCGTGCGACGCCCTATAAATGAAAACTAATTTCTCGCCTTAGCCATTTATTACATGCTTGGTGCTGCGTTGTTTTCATAATAGTTTCATTACACTCGCCACCAATAGAATGAGTTTTGTTGAGTTTTGTTGCATAATGTTCAATATCTTCTTGGATACAATTTCAGTTTTTAGTAGACAAAACAGAATAAATTGAATTCGTGCGAAAAATAGTTTTACTTTGCACAAAAATTAAAACAATCGTTTTTTATAAGTTAACAAAAAGTTTTATAATCTTAATATATTTTAGGTAAAAATTGTATTGAAAACTAGCTTTTATCGGCTACTTTCTGCCGGTAGTGTTTAATAAAAATGTAATTCGTTTTTACTCTCTTATTCTAGACATAATGTTTCAATTCTATCAATAAGATTCGCAATTTTATTTAAAAAAAAATAATTATACTAAAGAATTGCTAATAATGCACTTCAGCGCGCCATCTTGTATTTAACTATTTAAATATAACTATGATTGAATCTCCATGTCAACTTTTTTCATATAGAAAAGGGCTGTCTTTAGGGTTTTCCCGACAATTATTTGAATTTTTCTCGTCGTAAAAACCATCCTTGGACTTTAACGAACATTTTAAAAAAGAATAGGCCAAATGGATCTAGCCGTCGTTGAGTTATGCGCTTACCAACAGAGTTTCCCGTTCATTTTTACATTATAGACATAATTTAAGTAGAAATATTCTAAAACAAAGTAAAAAATCCAAAATTACAAATAATCAACCATAAATTGAACAAAATTTGTCTTACATTCATATATATGCTCTATATAATTTAACAATGCCTTATTTCTACCTCCTCTGCTACTTCTATATGCTTAAATAGTTAGCTTCGTGTTTACATGTGAAGCTGTAAGCCGATTAACAAGTTGTAGCAAATTTTCGGCAAACCAGGCATTGTTTTGTTTACATTTCGTGCCGTCTTGAACACAGCGGGCACATATGTAAAGTAGGCCCACAATGCGCCGTGTAAGGTATTACTTTGCGGTCCCAAAGTGGAAATTTACGAAGCCGCAAATGGGAAAATCTCGCCTCTAGATACAAATCTCTGCGTGCGCCGGCGCATCCACCAAAATACTTGCGGTAACGATAACAACTACGTAGAACAAAAGATTAAAGATTTACGACTTACATTGTTACCTCGATTAATACACTCATTAAAAACCATATTAAAAAGTGTTTCTGATTTATTAAAATTCGATATTTGCTCAGTCGTAAAAGTATTGTGAATTTAGTTGCGTCATTAAACTACACAATATGCGGAAGTATTTCTTCCTTGCAATTTATTTACAAGTGCTTTGCCATCCGTCGGCCGGAATATTTAATTTTTAAGCGCTGCAATGCGCCGCGTACTCATCGCCAAAGTGCGAGATTTAAAGCCGTTTAGCGTTTTAATGCGGGACCCAAGAGATTCTTATTAAAACTTTCAGATTTAATGCGCTAGATATAAGTCGCGAATGTGCTGCAAATGAATATAGCAAACGCAAATGACGTATAAAAAATATGCCTGAGTTAATGGCGAAAAAAGAGCAAACCCCAAATAACTACGGGCAAAAAAAAGCAAAAATCAAAACACAAAATGAGTGCTTTTTTGCCTAAAATTTAATATATTTAAATCTTACAATAAAATATTTTGCATATATACAATTCAAGTCTTGTTATTCATATCTTAAAAAGGTTTTTTTTTTTTTATTTTAAATAAGAATTACGCTGTTGTTTGTGTAATTTTATACTTTTAGACTTGAAAGCTGAAAAATAAAGCAATAAACACGTACGCATTGAATAAAACGCGTCGCAAAAAACCTTTCAAATGTTGATCGTGTATGCATGCAGAATAGTGAAGTGTTGCTACATGTCAAACGTTTTTTTTTTTGTTTATTTAAAAAATGTAAAATAATGCGAAATTCTTTCTTTTAATAAAAAACATCTCAGAACATGAAAAAGAGCGAAAATTCTTTTGAACGCTTCGATGGTTAGATACTTTGACGCATATCTTTAGATATCATATAAAATCTGTCGTTTTCTGATGTCGGGAAATGCATTTCACATACCTAACTCAAAAAATATACAGTATGTTCAAAAACATCTAAAATATGTATTTTCTTTGATAGAATATGGTGCAAAGTAAAATTTGACAGTGAACGAATGAGAAATCTTATCTTTTCACTCTTTTCACTGCTTTTCAGTGATAGGATTGCAAGCAGTTTGATCGTAATGCGAACTGCAAAGTAGTAGTGGCTAGAGCAGCGACACATTTTTGCGCTTTTGTCGTTTTGCTCGTGGGATATTCACGTGAGGGTCTCATGGGACGCATACACAAATCAATTTTGTCAAATCGTCCTGCGGAGGATAAAATTCGCAAATTCCAGACGACAAAGAGTCTCAAATTTGTCATGCAACTTTTTTCTCAAATTTTTATACAAAAATTTGCTGTATTTTAATAAAAATTGAAAATTAATTTCAAAAATGTTCTTTTGGTTGCCTATATTTGTTTCATTTCTTTTTATTTTCCATACTTTATCCCTATCAAATTCTTTCCCAAATTCTTTTTTATCAACTTCTAACTTTGATATTTACAAAATGCTTCCTACCTATTCCAACAAAATGTCCAATAATTTAATATTAAACATGATAGAAAATGATATTACCTATTTTTATTTATTCCACGATTGTCTTAATATTGCATTGCTCAATATTTGAAATCGCGTCAATCAATCTCGAATATAATAGAAGTTACTGTAACTAATATTCTATGCGGCAATATCTTTTCTTGTCTTTCAACCTCGAATTTCGTAGGTATGATTTGACAGCTGGATATTACCAATTTAGCTTATGTCACGACGCTATACCTCTGCTAGATATTAAATCAACTTTTGTGCTCGCAACAAATAGTTAAAGCAAAATAACGTTGAAAAATGCTTTATCTTTAGATGATAAGCATTGCGAGCATTGCAATTCCGTTGTGACCTATTCAAAGTTGAAGAACATGCATGCATATAGTTACACGAGATGCATTCGTGAGTTATCATAGTTGTTGCCACTTTCATAAGCGTTGTTTGACCAGCCTCAGCATCTCCTATTGTAATTCGTCGCGCTGCACATTCTGCCATCAATGCGAATTGAATTCGTTGTGACGTTGTCCCGAAGGAACCACACTCGAAATTTGCAGTTGGCGCAGAAACGTTCTGTTGACATTTGCTCTAAGGACCTGTTCACTTGAATATACAATGTGTATGACACTAAAAATAATATAAATAGTTAAAAATATAATAATTTTACTGTTTTTGTATTAATTTGGTTAATATACCGTGAGATTATTTATTGGGCATGACCCAAAAACACACTGTATTATTCTAAAGCTAATTTTAAACATCTGTGAATGATGTGATGCCCAAAACGTAAAACTGGTCCTGAATCCTTTGCGTATGGTCCACTGGTTAACTCCCTCGAGAAGATGTGCAACTTCCACGTTTCTCGCTGAGAAGCTCAATGACGTCACGTAGCCTATGCGACTATTCCTACTCAATTTCCTCGAAAGTGGAATCCAAACTCCGCGTCATCTATGGTTGTATAAGTGGATAGTCTTGCACTAGAAAATCGAAAGATGCCCCATTAAGACCAAGGACAACCTACAACTATACGTATTGAGTCATTATAGAGCAAATTCTAACAACATAAAAGGCACATAAAATATTTAAAGGTTATAAGAGACTGTGCAGTATGCTGCGTAGGTCTAGTGCATTATAGATGTCGTTGATGGTCAATTATGTGTGCGATGATAAAATATTTACGAACATTTAATGGCAAAATCGAGAACTTATTCCGGATATTGATGTTTTCTGCATGTCCTTGGAAGGTCACACATAGAATAGGCGATATGTAGTCTATATCCACTTCTGTGACTTGTTAAACTTCCAAAACTAGTGTTTTGTTTCCTTGCGGTTCATCTCCCTAGAGTTATGCAATCCGCAACAGGAAGGACTTTGTCATTTACGCCTCAACCCGAAAACCCAACAAAAACCTATATAGAAAACACATTAGAAACGTGTTTGCAGTCGCTGAGTTTGCCCCGACTTTAAACCCGCACGCTGTGAACATCTGTGTCTATTTGTTTTGCTTCCCCGCTAGTTCTACACTTCTACCCTGCCACGCCTGCAACGTTCCGCATTTCAACCTTAGCGAACCCAACAATTTGTAGTGTTTCTAGAATTCCGCTTGTATTCCATCTGCTATTGTTGTTTCGTTGTATAATATTGGGGCGTTGGAAATGCTGCTAATGTGCAAACGGAAATTGCGAGTATCTATGAGGTATGAACCACAGCTATAGATAGATATAGAATAGTGCGGTTATAAAACATTTGCTTGTCTGCAGCACTCACTCATTCCTAATTCGGTCGTATGTAGATTCGGGGTGGATCGTAGATTTTGGCGTAAACGGGCGACGAGCGGGAAATTGTATAAATTTCCTCCACTTTTCCGCCTGAATTTCCACTGCGGCGGGGCATTTCGCGTGGAAAATTCACGATCGGATATAAACGGACGGAATTTACTATAGTTTTATCTACAATGAGAAAAACAAAATAAATAAAAAATAAAAATAAAGAAATATAGTAAATTTAATAATAGTACATCTTTTCAAAATTTAATTCTATCTCGGATTGATTCTACCTGCAGCCTGGAAGTCAGCAGGTTCAATTTGTTCGTCAAACAATTGGAATCGGTGGGGAAAAACGAGTTATGAAAGTATGCATGCGAGGTCGAACTCGGCCCCTTTCAGCGGAGGCGGTACCGACCGCATTTATCCGATTGACGGCAGCGTTCATACTCCTGTCGGAAGTTTATGCACGCCGCTCACCGCGTCCTGGGCACAGGGTTCAATTGAAAATCCTGCGAATAATTCATCCTGCGCGATGCAATTCCACCACGAGCGCGACACGGAAAAGCACCTCGAAATGGAAAATTAATTTTCGGACGCGACCACAAGCGTCCTGAAATTGATGACACATTCGCACACTGATTTATACCCTGTCGTACAGTAATCTAACTTACCGACAGAAAACAACCATTTTTCAACTGCATAAGTTTTCGGTTAACTGTTTTGCTTACTTGACTTATTTTGATATGTGGAAGTAAGAATCTATCCGGGCGTTACTTATTAGACACTTAGAGGTAATCTAATAATAGAACGTACGTTCATGACACACTAATTATAACGCCATGATGGTGTGCAACTAACCATGCAACAATCAGCTAGTGACCGAACAACCAATTTCGATTGTCGTGGACAGTACATTGTGTTTTCAACACAATACTCGCTTTTTGACAAATAATACTCAATTATCTTGACTATTAAACCCTACGATTGTTATTTCAGAAGCAATATGAAGCAAATTATCTCTTCTAAAACCAACAAATCATTATCAAAAAAATATAACAATTTTCACCTAACCTTAATTTTTTATTTTGTACAGTATTATGTGCAAAATATAATATTTACGTGTCGAAATCTCTTCAAACAACAGTTGCACAACAATATTCATGTTTTGTTGTTGGAAAATTCAATGCGGTAATCCCATTCGGACAAATGAAACATAATTAAAGCAGTTGTTGTTGTGTAATGTTAATTATCACACGCTATACAAGTAAAACGCAAGCTACACGATCTTGTTGCTAAATACAAATTTAATTTAAACATTTGCGTACGAGTATACAACACAGGGATGATGGAAATGAGTCTAATTAAGTTTCGCCGCAAGTCAAACAAGTACCAACATACTCGTAATTTATTAACATTACGATTTATTGTTGAAACAAAAATGAAACAAATTCGGGAACTTTAACTAATTTGTTTGATAAGGAAATAAACCATTATGTATTGTATGATATTTTTATTCAATTTTCTTCAGGATTGCATGTCTAATTGAATTAATCGTTATTAGGTAATATTTGAGGTTAAATCACACCCGCTTGAATTATTCTTCCATTTCGGGGAGTTTAGGATGAATGCACTTGAAGAATGCCCAAGCATTTTCGGCGGCATCATGATGATCATCCTTAGCGCACTCCTCGATGTCCTTGTCGTATGTGTGTCCGTCGAAATATTTAGCGAAGTCCGCTTTGATCTTGTCAACGTCAAAACTGCCATCGTCCTTTTGGACATGCAATTTTTTGTGGAAGCAGAGCACAAACTTCTTCAGATCTTCGTCACCCTCGACGAATTCATTTTTCTTCATCTTCTTCAGATGTTCGTGGTCCAGATTGGGAAATTCGGCCAAGCACTCTTTTTTGATGGTCAAAAATTGTGCCTTGACGTCATCAGGAAGAGCCGCCTATATAATAACATTATTGATTATTATAAAAAAAAATGGATTAAGTTAGTGTTTTGTGCTTACGCCATTAATGCTGGCGATGTAGAGGGCGACACAAGCGATTGTCAAGAGGAACTTCATCTTGCTGCTGATGGTTTGTTAGTTGAACTTGGTTTAACTGATGCTTTGATGAGGATGTCGACGGTGTTTTATAGCAAAATTCACAGGTGATGAGCTGACGATTTCGGGCGGGTTTGGGAAGGAAAGACCCTGAAATTAGTCGCCGTGTAGGTTAATTGTTTCCCGATTGTGGTCTTTATGTACAAGTACATGGTATCACATTGTTTTCAAGCGTTGCGCGCTCAGCGGATAATTATTTTTGTATATCGTTGGCCACTAATCGGCGCTCGTTATTCGCTATTAATTTGCGTGTGTTAAAAAATTATGTAATGCTCATAATGATCATAATTTTATACAAAGTGTATCAAGAACCTATCGAAATATTTATTTTTTCTTATTTAATCGTCTCAAAATCACAAATTAATTTTATTTTAATAATTTCCAAAGGATAATAAAAGAAATCCAGTGTCTCGTTATTACTAATAAAATTATTCAACCAATAATCAACTTTCGCATGCCCTGGTCACATTTGTTTGTATTCTCAGTGCAAACGCGAACAGATTTTACGGAAAAACAACACAAATCGCTTTGCTCACGCAATAGCTCAATAAACGAAATTAAATCAATTTAACGATACTCTGCAAGTTGTCTGACCACTGACCAATAGCTATACACGGACGTCAATCGCATTAATCTTAATCTTAAGACTTGTAATGAAGTTATTAAAAACTTTTATTTAGTCATTGCGACCATTTTAAGTGTGGTTATAGTTATATTGTGCTGTTTGGGAGTGTTAAACACATCGTACGTTCTGCAGCGCTCGAAAGTAAATCCCCCGAAGAGGGATCTAAAGAAAACGCGAGCTGGATGACACTGGATTACGTCAAGCGGCAGTAAAACAATAAAACAGGCGAACCGGAAGTGTGCTCGCAACGCCACAGCGGAATATGACACACATTGTCGCATGTTTAAAGCGAATACACACGGGTTCTTGCGTTCGGCGTGAAGATTTGCTCTTATTACTTCCTTTGCAGCCGAAGTTCTAGGTAGTTACTTACGCCAAGTGGTTTAAACTTGTACAAAGTTGCGTTTTGTTACTTCACAAAACGAAAAACACGAATTTCTGCATATTACATAACCAACAAATTGTTTTCAGTTAATGTTATTCTATTTCCATGCTAACTTAATAGAAGAATAAGTACCAACTAAAAACAATTCAATTGGCTGAAATTTAACAGCTGAGTAAATAAATTCCAAATGATTAATGCTATTTACGGTCCATTTTGTTGGTTACGTTTAGTCTGGTCGTGAGGTTGCATACAATACACAGTGCATCTATTGTCAAAAGTTTTGTGTGCTTGTTTTCGTTCTGGTCCTGAATGCTCCCCGGTTTCAACTAATTTCAATGCACATTTCACAAGCTCAGCTGACACTGAAAGCTACCTATACATCCTCCATTTTCTACTTTCTATACACCATTCGCTATTCGGTAGGCGACACGAGCGGCAGGTGTGGACGGCGTAATAGAATTTTTACCATTGTTCCACTTCGGACAGTCTTTTAACTCACGTTCAGCCCTGAAACTGAGGCTGGAGTGGACGAGCTGAAAGCAAAGTGCATTAAGTTTAATTAATGATCGCCCGCGGGTGCTCCAATAGTCGTTAATTAATTTCAGTGGAAATTTCGTTTCTTTTTTTGTTCCCTGTCATTGAATACTTTTGATATAGAAATCACAAAAGTTTAAGTTAGAGTGTTTTTTAAGGTTATGCAATGTCAAATCAACTAGATAATAGGTTAAACGTCCTTAACCTTAAAAAAAGTTTTCTTTCGTTTTTTGTTTGCATGGGTAAAAGATTGAACGACCAAAGCAATAAAGGCGTCACTTGGTGACACGCGACATTCGTCAGGATGCCTTTCTACAACTTATTTTTACTCTAGCGCGTTTTCTTGAATTTAATTTAACAGAGCCATTTGGCTTTTTACTTGAATACGCTTGCATATAACACCGGCGCCATGTTTTAAACTCGTTTTCTATATTTTGCACACTAAAATAACAGTGGTGGGTTTATTTAAAGGTGACTCGGTGGTTTCGTGGACATTTTATGTTTTTATGAGGTCACCGCGTCCTTAAGGAAACTCTTTATTTTTTACCTCTTGGTTTTATAACTTTCTTCGCACGTTATATGACCGTTGTGGCGAATGCGCAAGATAATAAACTGTGTTTTATTTTTTCAGGTTTGCCAAGTCAAAGCGGCGCATTCTATCAAGGAAGGTAAGTGATGTTGCTCAATTTTATAGGTTAAAATTGAAAATACTATACATGGCAACGTATACGCTAGTAAAGTATCTACCTTAGCGCCGCCTCGTGGCTTATTTCTTAAATAGTGAGATCTGAAACCTTGAGTACCATATGTTATATATATACTAGTTAACCGGGCAAACGTTGTTTTGCCATATAAATTATTTCTAGTTTCTAGATAAATTTTAGTGTAGACAAAGAGTAACTTACTTATTATAAGTGTGTCAGTATGAAAAATTTAATTAACTGAACTAATTGTGCCAAATACACTTAAAATGAATAATTTTATTATTATGAATAAAATAGTAATCTATAATATAAAAATGAATCGCAAAAGTGTTGTTAACCATTGTAAACGTTACTTACTACACTTGATACGTATACCATAATGATGGCCGAAAACTGTGTAGGGTGTGACAGAAGTCTTATTGTGTGAGTGAAAAGAAGACCGGCTTCAGTCTCATTCCTTCAAGCGGTATGAAAAGTGAATAAATTACTAAAATGGCTATAAAAATAGGGTATTTAGTTCTTTTCACTAAACATGATTATTCAATTTTAATAGCAAACAAATAATTTCAATTATTGTCACAATTTTATAAGTAAAGCTCTGATTGCAGGAGTGATGGAAAACCGTGGCAGCCTGGAAAAAATTCCAGAATTTGCAGTGCACATTTTGTTGGGGGTGAAAAATCTAACAATCCACTCAATGAATTTTATCACCCAACTATATTTCCTCTAATATACGTAAAAAAAAGAAATTCTAATGCAGGTTTACGAGCTGAGAGATTGCGAAAACGACGGGAAAGAATTTCATCTGCAATAATTAATACAGCTCCAGCAGATGCTGCAGTTGATGAAATAGTTGTTTCTGAGAAACGTGATATTGGCATACAAACAAAAATATTTTTTTGTCGACATTTTTTTTAAATGTTTAATTATGGATAATATATTCAATAATAAAGTGTAAACATTAGCTTGGCAGGTGTAGCTTACCCACCATTTAAAAAATAAGCCACGAGGCGGCGCTAAGGTAGATACTTTACTAGCGTATACAATCTAAATGAGAATTTGAGTGTACAAAAAACATCGAAATGTGAGGTTATAGTACAAGGAAACGATTATCACCAGTGTGTGAGAAGGGAAAATTGTGCTGCGATTGCCAATATTCCTATCTCTCCACTCTGCTTATCTCTGGAGTACGTCGTGGCTGGCCTGTAATTACCGGCCCCCGGCGGGTCGTTGCGGGGCGTTTTTGGCACGCTGCCCTCAAAATACAAACTGCACGCTTAACTATCTAATTATGGCGGCAATTGTGCATAAACTCTTTCGTTTCGTTTATGTTTCGCGTGATGAAAAACAAAGCGAAAATAAATCCACCAACCACACCGAAAATTGGAATAAAATGGATATTAATGATATCCACGTTGGTGTGGAGTCCATGATGGGAGTTGCATCAGGTCGATAAATCATCGTTACGCCATACCAACAAAAAAATAACTAACAATACAGAATAATTGAAACAGCACACACGCGAAAAATAAAACAGTCAATTGAGGAACGAACAAAATTCAAGACTGATTCATTTTTAAATTACGCTGATTGCTTTTTAACTTGTTTACTTTTTTAATTCTCAGAATGGTTTGAATTCGCTCGGTACTATTGTTTCATTTATATGATAGTAATAAAATTATATATTTTACAACCATCTGAAGTTTATGTGTATAAACATCTTGGAAATTAAAGTTTTCCTTTAACTTCCATTCTTTATCGCTGGAAGCGTAATCAGTTTATTTTTATATTTTAGATAAATGTTATTATAACCTATCTCTGACACAGTTCAGAATGACCAAGGGGTAATTTGAAACCCGATAAATTTATTAACCAACTTTTGCTTCATGTTGTCCCTGTCATTTTTCATTTGCTCATTAATATATTTATGTTATCATCCGCAGCACAAAAGTTGTGTGCATAAACGATAAAGTTGCAAACATACTCGTGTGAAACACACGCCAAATAGGTAATAGAATTACATCTGCTGCAGTAAATTTGAACGTTGAGCAAAATTACTGTCAGGACTTAATTTTTGCATCGCTGCACACAAAATATACTTTAATATTTCAGTCAAAAGCAAAGTCGCTAATATCATGTATTTCATATGTTATTAAACGCCAAAAATCTGCAATAACGCTGTAATAATGTTTTATTCAAAAATATTGTTGAGAATATTATTATACAGAAAGTTATAAACATATACAATTTGGTTTTGTACTTTTATAGTAATTTACTCACAAAATAATCTATAACAATATAGAAAATTCTAGCAGAAATAAAATATGTGCATTTATATAAAAATACAGTTGAGAAAATACTAGATACTATCTAAAAGCATTACAAATATTAATGCAATACATTAGTAACGCTAGAAAAATCAGAAATATATTGAATTGATAATGGAGAACCTTTAACTCGTCTGTTATTTATTAAATGTTATAATTTTTGCTCTAAAATATAATATAATAAAATAAATTTTAAAACATTTAGTCATAAGACAAATTTATGAGTAAATGATTTATCTGTTTTGTCTTATAACAAAAATATTGAGTAAATATGAAAAAAAAAAACATTAATTTGTACTAAAAGATTTTCAAGTAATTATTTAACAATTAAATTTATTAAGCTAGGCCCAATGATGTATAAATTTGAAACATTGAAATTCTGAGAAGCTGCTATTATAAATAAAATTGCATTTAACTACACAAGCTTTGTGTAATTATCAAAAGCAGCCGAGTAACTCATTATTATCAAATATTGAACACAATTCACAAAGCCCTACAGATGCAATGAAAGCGTACATTATTGAATCATTATCGGTCCATTGGATCAATTAATTACACGCCGATATTTTCGAACAAATAGCACAGATTAATTAATTAATATTAATTAATATGTGCACACAAAAATACCGCCGGTATTGTTTTTGCGTGTAATTGCGATATGACAAAGTACTGATAATCTAATACGAGCAGCAATAAATTATTGTATTTCTAGGCGATTAGTGTTGGCAGTCGTGCATAACGCGCATTCCGATTGGATTCAATCGAATTCCGGGCACGTAAAGCGGATAACATCACAAGCGTACGAATTCCAGACGACAAAAAAAAATAACGTAGATATTGAAAAGCGGACACGATAAACGCTGATTTATTTTGTGCGATCGCGCGCGAGATTAAGATTATTTGCTTCGCATTCGTCCTTGTAATATCCAATACATTTTGTCGGCCAGGAAGATTTTACTTACCATTGATGTGTATGAGTGGGACACGTAAATCTTTATCTTACTATGCACAAAATTTTTTTACAAAATTTTCGAGAAAATTTAATTTTTAAATTTCAGAAAATGTAACATGAGTGTTACACTTTAATTTTTATAATAATCCAGGTATTTACTAATTAAAGAAAATTAAAATAATTCAACAATTTGCATGCAGATAACTAAAAAATCCACAGAAAAAAACTTGCCAACTTTTCTCAATCTAAATCTTCTTTTTGTAATTTAAAACTTTGCCAACAAGTAAACTTTGTTTGTGTCCGAACTATCTAGATATGATAAGAAACCGTAGCAAGTTTTTCTGGTCACAATGATTTCCATGTTCCCATTGCAAGTCTTTATTTCCCTTGAATAAAAGAATTCTTTTATTACTGCACCGACGTTGTAATAAAGTTTCAATACGACTCAACTTTGTACGATATGATAAAACCCCAGCAGGATTTAATAACGACGCGCAAAGTCCTGCCAAGACTACGCAAGTAGAATATAACATTTAAAGACATTGTTGCGAGCAAGCAGAGAATGGAAGAATTTGCGCAATATTCTTGTTATTTTAGCGCTGATGCGGAAAACTTGGTGGCACATCGCCTCCTGCACGCATGTGAATTGTCTCACACGGAAAGTAAACCTTCTTGCGGGGAGAAAAATATGTAATAACATGAAAAAAGTAATAAAAAGTGTGGAAGAGTAGCGGGGAATTTTGGAAGTTGGTAACATATGTTCGTTTATGCATTACAAGTGATACCAGGATGGTTATAGCTTGCACAAACAAAGAATCTCATGTTTTAAAGTTTTTTTTGTTGAAATTAAGATTTTTTTTGGAAAAAAAGCGAAAATCTTGTTACTTATTTAACAAATTTTAAAAATACGATATCAAATAAGATAACAATTACTCTACTCAATAGAGAATAGTTGAAGTTTGAGGTTAGAACATTAGAAGCCAAGAGCATTGTTTTTTAAATCTTTATTCCTCTCGATATACACATAAATACTTTCTGTTAATGTTTTTTAGTAATTGTTACACAAAAGTAATTCGTATTCCTCACTTTTCATTTGCTTTCAACATTACATTTGATCGTAACACTGATTTTAGTTAATTAAAAGTCGAAATCAACATACACTAAGAAAATATCACAGACTTCGATTGAAGCATTCCGAAAACAAAACTCTCAAACAAAGGAAACCTCCCAACAAAAAGACAAATAATTTCCATAAAAATTATTCAGCTACACTGAGCGTTTAGAGCGTTAATTACAGCGTCATTCGTAAACATGCAATGAATGAGAAGATCAGAACGGGGAGCAAAAATTATGTTACGTTAAATTACACGGACGTCCTTTTTCTTTAACCACCCCTCTCGGAAAAATTCGGAGCAAAATTTTACGAATTTTTAAATTACAAGAGTGTTGTACATTCAAAGTAGCTCGAAACTAAATTAATTAATAATTATATTACACGTATCGTTTTTGGCGGCCATCTTAACGTCGACGGCCATGTTTTAACGCGCACGCATGCGTGCTCAGTCCTCAAATGAGATATCGTCGAACTGACTGCCGATGTAGCCGATACAAATGCAGTAGTGCTGAAACAGCTGAATGAGCAGTTCCTGCTCGTCGAGGAATTCGATCTTCTCGATCTTTTCACGGTCCGCCTGGGGAATACTGTAGTAGATCTTCACCATGTCCCACGCCTTAGCGCCCGTCCAATTGTTTGATAAAAAGTGTGCTTCCTGGCTCTCTAAACTTCGGCAGTTGACGATGCCAGACAGATTGCAACCGCGTGCGCGCAGATTCTCCAGCATTACGTTGCCAAAGGTGTCGTTCATATTGCACATCTCATAGTTGACAAAAAGTGCGTTGGGAAACTTGGCGGCAATAAACTGCAACAACCGGTCCACGCAGCTGTTCTCAATATAAACGAGAACGCACTCAGCGATGAAAAGCGTCGGCACGTTGTACTTGACCTCGGCTTGCTGCAGTTTCGCCTCTAATTCGTTTACATTCCGAAGATCGACGCCCATGCAGTGATAACTACCGGCATGCATATCTGTACTACTCAATTTGACTTCATCATCCTGATCGTGAATGCGTTCGAGTAATTTCTTATTCCGCTTTATCATGTAACATTTCTTTGCTGTTACAGAAGGAAAATCTATGTCAACAAAGCTAGAAATGTTGATGTTCTGATCGCGAAGCCGCCAATAGAGCGTATCGAAACCAGCGCCTAGATTGATCAGTTGAGCATTCTCACCGCATCTGTCTAGGAATTTAAAGATAAACTTCTCTACACCTTTTACTCGAGCAAAGTATCCTCTGTTGATTTCAGGTGGTCGCTTGTGTGTTTGCTTGATCAGGTAGCTAATGTAGTCATCCTTCCAGTAACCGAGCTGGACGGCATTGCGTTTGCACCCGCTGGCGTCGTCGTTGGTCGAGATAACAGCCTCGTCGTCCATCTCGGGCTGAAAGAAACCAAAGCTCTGCTTATTGCAATGTTTGTGTAGCCATTGAGGTTATGCGCGGCAATGTAGTACATTCTGTGTGTTGCAATCGGTGTCAGTACGGGACCCAGTTAGGTTTTTGTCGATTATTGATCATTTTTAGGAGAATATGATTTGACAAACAGCAGAATGAAGTGCAAGTGTTAATTCTGACAAACTTACCGGCGTTTTGGTGCGATGATTAAAGTATTGGCGCAATTTACGGACGTCAGTTCTCGGTGGAATTCGCTCGCGGACTGGATATACGCGATGCGCTGCGGGTGGAGTGCGCATGATCGCAGCGAGGTGAGACTCGGGAAATTCAAGCGCTTTCCACCGTACGCTTTCTCGGCGCTTTCCTCGGTGCGTCATATTTGCCTCACCAGCCGGTAACGCACTTGCATTTAAACTATTTTCGTATTGAGTTGCTGATAATCTATTCAATACGTTACAATAAAAAAGTTTTTCAAGGGTATTTGCACCTAAATGATGTTTTTTTCGGAAAAGTCTCGGAAAATATAAATGAAAGTATTAATATAAAACTGATTTTAATATAGTTATTAATTTTTAATTGGCGCCACATCTTTTATTTTATTTTTATTCATAACTTCTTATAAAATTGATTTTTTTACAAATCAATATGGTACATTTTTAATTTGAGTAATAAAAATGCGTGGATTAATAATTAAACTTTGCTATACTAGGTAATAGTCCAATTGTTTTATATTTAAAAGAATAAATCATTCATTAATTGTCATTTATATTGGCTGAAAACTAAACGCTAGCGCCCTCTATTGCGACCTATATCTACTAACTATTATTTTTTTTATTCTTTATTTTGTTGCAAAAGCTTCTATATTCTATGTTTTATTCAAAGTAATTTAATTTAATTTTATTTTTAAGAAACAAAAATTATTTTGCTTTATTATAGGAAAATTGTGAAAAAGTGTTGGTGACATTTACAATTGCACTAAATCATACCATCTCCTAGCATTTGCACAAGTACAAAAAACGAACTTAAAAAGTAGGTCTTTAGTTGTGCAAAGAAGGGTAAGGATAGCAGCAAACCGAAAAATTATGGACTCGCTGGCACGGAAAGGGCGCCCCCCTCGGCTTCACGGCTCCAAGAGGGTCGATATTTAAAGAGAAAAATGAATCCTTTCGTTTTGTGCTTCCTTCGGGCATACTTTCAACCTAGGCGTGCCCGTACATTTATCCACTTCTCATCTACGCAGCGTGCCTTTACCTCCCAGTGCTTTTCTGCTTTCTAGTGCATTTTTCATTTAGTTTTTAGAGGTTTCCACTGTCACGCGCCAGGTTTTTGCCGGTGCGATCTTAAATCATAGCGCGCATTAAAAGGATGCCACCTTGGACTACTTCCGACTGGTCTTTGTCGTGGCACGTGTTGTTTTGCATCGTGTTGTTTTCATTATAAGCACTTTTTTTAACCTTTTTGTTTCTTTTTCTTTGTTTTGGTTTTAATGTATCACATGTTCTATTTTTACATATAAAAGATTTACAAATTAAATATTAATTAAATGAAATTAAGCGCACATGGAAAAGACAATCACACAACGTGCGGAAGTAAACAAACGCGCAGAAAATTACTTTCTAAGTCGTTCTGGCAACCAATATGCACACGGCGCCATTTTACAAGCGCCTGGTACAAGTAATTAACTTCCATGTTGATTCTGTGCTATTTGAACAAAAGTTCCAGGTTATGTGTGTGTGTGTGCAAAGCGTAAATTCTTCATGGCCTTGCAAAGACACCTTGGTTGGATCTTTGTATATAAATTTAATGAAAACAAAGGAGAAATCGATAGGTAGGCAACACTATACTCGTATTGCGCCAACTCTTAGCAAACGCCATTCGAAATTAAAGTGTCTAAAGTGCATGCGACGAGCGTTAACACCGGCGGCCATGTTGGCAGGATTAAAAGGATAAACCGGAATTAATGAGCTGCAGTGTGCACGTGTCGCATGCTAGGAGACACTTACCGCTCCGGAAGCGAACGTGTTTTCTTACACAGCTGGTGGAAGCTTCCGGTTCCGGCTGTCGATGTGCAACCCGTCTAACCTCAACCACAAACTTGCACTTATGCATAAAATGTCACTAAGGAATGACAAATCGTTTTATACTCCACATATTTTGTATGATTTTAGCATTCTCGGTTAAAATTGTATGAATTATTCCAGAATTTAACTGCGAAGTTAATCGCCCACTCGTTTGGCTCGACATAACCGGAAACTGCACAGCGCGAAACTTTTATTTCCGCGCAATTAAAACTTTTAAGCTTTGGATATGCAAATGTCCATGGATTGTTAGCAAGAGAAACAGAGAGAGCGAAATGAATCGTAATCGGAATTTAAAGTCGAAACAAACTGTTGTGGTTTTACCTTTTCGCTTGTAAATGCGAATACAGCGCACATAGGCTCAGGAAACACATGACTTGTGAGTAATGTTGTGCTTTCGGAACTAGCCAGCTGCTAGCAATGGCTGACCAGGAAACGTAGAGTATTAGTGCTCGTTGTAGTGGAGGAAAAGTTTTGGGCCATTTCGAAGCTGGTAACAAAACGTGTGCGCTTGGTAAATCTACGAATTCGGGTCTAAATCCGACGTGGGGGTTACAAATCCACCTGAGGACCAGACATTCGTCAGGATTCACCTTTGTATCGACCTTTATTTTATCCAAGACAAGAACAAATTATACATAGATAAGTCTAATACAACAAAACTCTATTTAAAAAAAATCTAAAACTAAAAAAAGTGAGGTTAAGCATAGCACATGACTGTAATTTAATAAATCAAGAGAATGGTGGTGGTAAAAGTCAATGAAATTGAAATATCTACCTCAATCCCAAAAGCGGGTAATTGAATGAAAGAGCAGTGAATGAAATTCGACGTTGAACTACGAGCATTGATCAGGAAATGCGGAAAATTGAACGTAAATCATGCGAGACGTACCTCCCAGCTACCTCCCATTAAAATGGTGCCGTCGTGGTTCATAGATCATGTCACCGTCGACCAGCCCGCGGCGCCATTTTGCATGTTCTCACTGAGGACTTTCCGAATGTCCTGCCCGGCGGTCTGCCAAGTTCTACTACGCATAAATTATCCTGAAGAGATTAATTTTACTTCATGTACATTGCACACCTTAAAAAATCTAATTAATTATGTGATAAATTACATGCAAATACTTTTGAGGTTATATTGAGGTTATGTTTAGATTTGTATGAAAACTGCGATTGTAATATAAATACTATCGTGTTATAACGTGTTGAATTGTCTGAAATTAAATTCTATATGCCATTTTCCGGTTCCAAGAATCCAGATAGATTAATAACAATTTCGCCGAGTTATTCGGCGCCGTCGGGGAATGCGCCAACGAGCCTTGCGCGCAATATATTCACGCTTGTGCTTACTAACTACGATTCCCATGGCGGCCCTACTATGCTATTCATGTCATCCATGAATTCTTACACGCAGCACTTTGGGCGGAGTCTTGGACGATACTTCGGACGCTCTGGCTGATTATAAAAGCCGTCATAAATTCACCGTTCAAACTTTTGCCTTCTGCTACGAGCACTTACAGCTGGCTAAAAAGGGTGAAAACGAGGCGAAATTATCCTCATTCTCGTTTTGGCAGTTTTCACATAGGTATTTACTTGAATCCTGAATAAAATAATTATTATCTCTTTGATATAAAAAAATGTGTTTGTTTTAATACCCGAGCAGTAATCTGAGTGTTAAAAGAGAATATAATAATATTTTTAATAAAAGAAAAAAGTCCTTTTGAATACCAACAAAACCGGAAGTGCTTTGTTCTGCGTTAATCTTCTTAGAAGAAGAGCTGTATACTACTGTGAAACACCGCTTACGGCCAGTTATTGTTTGCGATGAGTATTATACGTACCAAAAAGTATGTCGTAAATTGTAAGTACTTGAATAAAAACGACGAATGGGATAAAAAGTAGATATTCTTTTCATCCGGGGTTCTGTCAATGTTGTCTATCTGCTTTCAAAGTGTACATGTGGAGGAGAAATGGTGTAATCCGTTCTGAAACCACAAAAACAAAGATTACAAGTTTTCTAGTAATATTAGTTCATTTTGAGTCCTACCTCAATGTTACTTTAAAATAGGTTAATCCAAATGAGAAACTGGTTTAATTTTTTCTTATTTTAATTGAAACTAGTCTTTAGTTTTTACTAAAACTGTAATTAAGTTTTATTTTCTCGTTCAGGACTTAGTAAAGGTCGATTTCAACAAAAATTAAAAATTAAAAAATAAAAATTAATTTTAAATATGCTAATAATGCACTTTAGCGCCATCTCGGATTCAATTATTATAACTACGATTAAACCTTTATTTCAATTTTTATCTCCTAGAGTTTAACTCTTTAAGACATAATTTTTAATATTTTAATACATATTCTGCTATTCGTGGCCGAAATCAATCAAGCAAACCATAAACCATCAAAATCTGCCCAGTCGTTCTTAAGTTACAAGTGCTTTAACTCACCAAACTATGTTTTTCAACATATTTGTAGATATAAGAGCAACTTAAGATTAGTTTTTAAGTATTTTAAGTAGAAAATAAATTTTTAAGTAATAATCTTTTATTAACCTGCAACCTCATCAAACTTATTTTGCAATAGTCCACTTTATTACCGATTATATATTCTGTGGATAGTAGCACACGGCCGCATTTCAGGGCGCGTACATTATCTGCACGTTTATTGCCGATGCATTTTCGCATCGCGCTGGTTATCGCCCGCCCGCTTGACGTTTATGCGTCGCCTGCGCCATATTCCACCCGCGCGAGATTACATCGGATGTCGTAACACACGATGATGCGCCCGGTGGAAGGTGCAAGGGTTGTAACTCGCCCTAGTCAAGCACGCGCTTAAATTACGTGCATTATAATGTTAATGAATCGCTTCATGTGCTTCACGAACGCACCTGATTGTGCCGCGTAGTGCAATTTGTTTTGTTAGCGAACTAACCAACGAAATTATTTGAACGAAAGGCTTAATTATAAAAATTCATTTTTGATATTTGAATATGTGATATGTGTTGCATATATTAAAATTTCAAACCTGAAAAGTAGGTGTTTTGAAGTTTTTGATTTATTTTTGGAATTTTGGTAATTTTATGGCAAACAAAGAAACCAAAAGTACTAAAAATCCTTGTACAGATAGATACTGTGGTATTCAATTAATTTTTTTAATTAAGAATGTTGCTTGTGCGCGTCTGGTTTAATGGCATCGTGAAAAATATCCACCTGCGCAAAATTCCGTATTTCTTCGAAAATTCACACAATAAGGCCGTCTGAATGCCTGCCGCTGTTGTACAAACCGAAGGAAGGGAGGGTAGTAGTCGATTAAGGGCTTTCGGTTTCATTATTTGAGGTTTTATCGCAGTGCGGCTTTGCCACCCAGTTTTCGCTTTCTGCTACACCGTAATTATCAAACAGCTGATGATAATTCTGAAAATTTCATATACTGACGGTACCCAAAAACAATGTGATTACTGTTTACCTATATTATGTGTGTTCCTAATAATAATAACAATAGTTTTTGTTTGTATAAACATGCCCACATATTAAGCATATTTGACTTGTCAGGGCACATGTTAACCCGCAGAAGGGGCGCGTTTAATTAATTACTTATCCCATGAGTTACATCATCAAGAGGAATGAGGAGATGGGAACTTGGAATCCTCTATTTCCGCTATAACTTTCACCTACATTCCACATTAATCATACTTCCTCCTCGTGAAACATAACATAACAGAGATATCTGTAGTTTATCAAAAACAAAATTTTTAATTATAACATTTAATTATTGTACTTATTGTTCGAGTTTGTAGTGGGTAATATTACCTACCATGATGAAATTGTTTACACTTTACGTACGCTTGGGCCGTGGAAATAACTTAACTCACCTTCGCTTGGGTCGAGTTAACTTTGCGAAATTGCGCCGACTTGGCGGAAATGCGGAGCATCATTAGGGCGTGTAATTTCGCGTAATTTATCTAATAGATTATGGCAATTAAGCCCCTTTGCATCAGGATGCGAGCTACGGCGTCGCATTTCTCAGCGCCGCCACTGTTTTTGCTTGGATGTGCCGTACGCTTATCATCATCAAACGTTGAAGGTGGCTGAAGGCTTCGGGGCTTCCTGCCTATGTTTACCGACATATTAAAGATATTAAAGTTTGCTGCTTTGACAAAAACAGTTTTCTTTCTTTGTTTATTCTTTGACATAATAAAACAAAAACTGAAAATTTTAAAAACTTAATTTATTCATTTTTGTTTCTAAAAAATCATAATTACAAACTTCATTACTACGAATAAAGTTTTTTTTATAAAACAAAAATTAGTTTAGAAACAATTTCAAATTATATTTTCATATTAAGTATTTCGTGTGTATTCACCCAGAACTCAAAACAACTTTGATGCGCAAAAAGTTTTCCGCTTTCGTTGCTCTCAGTTTTCATATCAGAGAAAGATAAAACGATAAAAAAAAACTAAGCCTCTAGACGCGGATGGATAAACCAAGTAATCTCTGCGAGTGCGTGGAAAATCGCAAAAGTAAGATGAAGGCAAAAGTGTGAAAGTTTCCTATTGATTTTTACTGCTTTTTAGATCTGTTTTAGACGTTTTGAAAATGTGTTTGCTGTGAAAAGTTTATGATTTTTTTGTCGTTTCTGGCGTGAATTAAACTTGACCAGCATAAATTTCACTAATTTCACATTAACATATTCTGAACTTTTTTGCAGCTAAAAATGCTGGAAACACACATTTAGCCTGTAATTTTATGATGTTTATTTTTGTTGATATCCGTTATGGTGTAAAACAGTATATAAACGAATTTATAAAAACTATACAAAGTGTTACGTTTATTGTTTTGTTAAAAAAAAAACGTTTTTTTGGAAGTTGTGATTTTCTACTTATACGAACATCAGAGCATGACATGACACAGGGGAACTTCCCGTGGCACGTGTTTTTTATTCGACCTTTACCCCTCTGACCCACAACCTCATCCCACTGCTCTGTGGAAGGAATGAAAGATTGAGTACAGTACAGTCCGGATTTTACGTTTTACTGATTTCCATCGTGTGGGAAATGCAGGCCCGCGTGTGAAAATGATGCGAAAGCAAAAAAGTAAAGTGTAAAATTCGAGTGGAACGTCCAGGAATATCCTCTTCATGCTTCACACCATGGTGACAACCTGTCCGAAACGTTCTTATCCTTCAGTACATTTCTGTCAACTCGCACTCGTCTATAAATTATGTGGTTAGAACTTGTGGGAAAATAAAATAAAAATTACAAACTTACAAATAGAAATTTGTTCTAGTTGGAGGATATTACAGCATCTCTAAGAGGCTTACCTCTAGATCGCTAGCGCAAAGTTTTAATGATTTTCACCGACTTTGAAAAGAAAATCGACGATTCTTTCACAAAGCGATTTATGTTTCTTTGCGGATACGCGAGTCTGTGCTTGGCGATAAGTAAACCTGAAAACTTTTAACGAAAGAACACAGTACGAGATGCATCAAAGCAAGATTTCACATTGCACCATTGTTTATAGTAGATTTGCTTTGTTGTCTTTTCAATTCCTAGAAATAACAGTGGAAAATTTCAAATTGGTATTAAATTTTTGTAACAAAAGTAAAAACAGATTCTTTAATGTTTATACGATACAGATATGGAATAATATCAGGCATTTCAGAACAAATGTTTGTATGCAATGTTATTATTTATTAAACGAGCTTTTAGTGATTTTCCAGCAAATTCTATTGCTATGATTTATTGCATATTGGCACAACATTCATGAAAATTCCTATATTCGCAGTCGTAAAATTTTATTACCGGTTTTTGTCAGTAGAGGGTCAAAACGCAATCGGATGTTTATTAATTTATAGAATTTACCACCCTGTGGTGAGTTTAAATTCAACCACAATCTAATAAATTACTTTGCTTCAAATACATCACACTAAAAATCAAATTTTATTTTATGGCAAAAAAATCTAATTAATTTATTTTCTATGATATTGTAACAAACCTGCTGAAATAATGTTTATTGCTTTTAATAACCTTAATCTGTATATATTACCAAAACAAATTGTAATCACAAATCGTTCAACCCTAACCCTAAGACCAGTAATTATCACTTTATCTGATTGCCTGCAATCGAGTGCCAAGAAAAGTGACAAGTTACGAGCTCTCGTGCATAAAACACGATGTAATCTCTGCATAAACACTAATTAAGCTTAATTATAGTAATGAAAAGCTTTCGTAACGTCACGTCTATCGATTGTATCTGGAAGAAATAAAACAACAAACTGGAGGTACTTATGTATGTAAGATATTGGGTTTGGAAAATGCGAAAATAACAAGTTGCGTGCCCGTGTCTGAACATGTCGTCACGCTTCATTCGACGAGTCCTGAATTCTGCTATCCGCGACATGGCGAGCTTTCGTGCACCTGTCAACGTGTCCCAACACCGTTAACACATTTACAACTTTATATTCGTTTCTTCTTTCAGCGTGTTATAAGGGTGTATTGTAAACAAACTTTACGCTGGCACGCAGTAAATCATAACAGAATAAATCCGGATTTTCACGTTGGAACGTTGGAGTGTTAATTCCGTTGCCACGTCATCCGCAATTTCACCGTCCGCCATCTTGTTATGATTGATTGCAAGCGCGTTGCTTCTATTTACGCACAAAACTTGCCCGCAACTCACTAAACCTGTTCTATATGCATTAATAATTCACGACTTTAACTTTTCCATCAACGTGCTCATTTCATCAAAGCGCTGACAGAATCCCGCCTGAAAGAAAGATAATATCATATAAAATCGTGGAATGAAAGGCGTCACAAAAAGAGATTTATTTCCAGCGTGAATTTAATCTCGTATCCATTCAGCGGAGGCTTATTTGTTGAACATTCTGATGTTACAACGAGTTTAATTTGTGTTTACACACTTAATTCGCACGGAAAGTACGAATGACTGAAATGTGAAGCAGTAAAATAAATGTGTGCGGCGGTCTGTGTGAAGATGTGACGTGTGCAAGCGGATTTCCAGTTGGGATTTGAAAAAAATAACCGAGGGTGTAAAAAAATCGCAGCTAAACGAGGGAATTAAAACGAGAGCATTCACGCACCGACAGCGAATGAAAACGTTTTGCATTCGGCACACATTTTGATTAATTAGCCACGCACGAATGCGTTCAGACTTAAATTCAATTTTGAGTAATTTACGTCCACATCGCTTGAAACGAAAAAAAATCGCTGAAATTTAAAGCTGTTAAAACTGGAAAATTAAGTTTGTGGTTAAAGTGCACTCTGATGTTGTATAATAATGTGTAACCTAACAATAATCCAATTGCGATATAATCTAACAACAGGAAATTGAAAATGTCCACGTTGATGTAGAGCTTTACTCCCATCCAGTAAAACTTCAACTCAATGTTGGATGTTGGTCCTTTGTCCCACTGTTTCCTTCCACTTTGCACGAGTTTGAATCGATGACGGCGCCCTGCCGAGGACATTGTGTGTGTGTCAATAAGAATCGTTCTGGTGTGGTGACGACTTTCCGCAGAATACCGACAGGAGTGCATGTCGAGCATCACTCCAAACGTCGACAACCATTTCTTTCATTACTCAGCACTCGCGATACGCAATTTCTGGTTGCTACATTTTCCGTTACATTTATCACAATAAATCACTTCGCTACCAATGTATACATAACCTACTTGCGTCTTTGTAGTCGTGGATGCACAAGGAGTGCGCTTGAAATTGCAATCGGAATTAATCCGCACGTGCGCGCTGCGAGTTTGAGAAATATCTCAATTGCATTTTGTGCAGCGCGTGCACTTAAAACGAAATTGCCGTTTGAATCTATTGCAGTAAAAAAAGTATCACGGATAAAAATTGAAGTCAATCTATCTGGGTAACAGATGGTGGCTTATACTTTAGTGTAGGTATGTCGTATACATAATCGAAACAGGCCTGTAAGAACCTACAAATCCCACCTGCAGGAATGACAAAAAAACGTAAAATATTCAACAATTTGTTACATCTGCGTACGGTTTTGCATGAAGTGTTCCTGTTTTATGATTTTTTACATTTTTTTATATTTACATAATATATTTGCTTGCAGATCATTTTCTGGAAGAAAAACTAAACGAAATCAAAAAGAAAAATGCCAATCTCCGATTTCCGCAAGAAGAAGCTGCTGTACGTCTTCAACGTCTTCTTTGGTAAGCCACAAACTGCACAAACTTTTTGTCAATTCACTAAAACAAATGTTTTTACTCTCCACGCAACACTTTTTCCACAAAGTTAAACTTTCCAGCGAATGTATTCTTTAAATTGCCTTTCCACGACATCTTTCGCTTGTAGAATCGTTTATTTAAGTCAGATGCGATTAATTTGTTTCCGAGTGCACTCGACTTGTCACTCTTGTTAAACGTGTGTTCTCGTTTTGTCCTTTTGCTTCTGCTCGCTCCTCGTCGCCTGCTTCCGATCCGTTTCGCTTCTCGCGCTTCGATGGCGCACTATGCGCTTTGCGGCAGAGCAATTAATCGTCCTCTGAGTTCGTTCTTGTTATTATCCTCGTTACTCCTTCGAGGATACCCTTGCACATGCGGACACATGCCGGCGTTATCGGCGGAGCGTAAACGGCGCGCAGATGCCATTCCTATGCGTTTCTGCTGGAGGATTCTCACAAGAAAGGATTTCGATATCCAATATTGGCGAGGATAGATATCGAGGTCTTTTAGTTAGGTGTGCGCGCGCGTAAACACTTCGGGAATAGAGGAGAAATCAGATTGTAGATGGTTCCGACTTTTCACGAGGAGTTTTGCTTGTTTTACAAGAGCTTGCGTTTCGTCGATTGCAGTCCGTTCCTGATTTATTTCTCGTTAGTTACAAGTTTAAATTATCGAACGGAAACTTTTGTTTCCGTTAAGCGTAAAGCAAGATAAGAAAAATGCTGACTTGAAATAAAGATGTGTAACGAAATTTTTCACAAAATAAATTAATTTCGATTATTATTAAATTACGTGCACATAGAGTGTTTGTTCCACTTGTATTTTTCAGCCACATTTCCTCTAGCAATATAGTAGTCTACTTTCCGCCTTTCTGCCTTCCATCATCTCGGCCTGCCTCGTTCATCATCCAAATTATGGTTAAATTTCATCAAGCCGGGCGCGCGCGTACCCCATCGCAAGTATTTGCATAATTCATAAATCATTTCGCACATGACGCGTTCCTTTAAGTGAAATCGAGCAGACGCACGCGGTGCTCTGTCGGCGACAAGTTTTCCGCCTTGTTTATCTCGCAAGTTCTGCTTTTTCCGTATAGTTTCGGCGTCACGGCGCTAAAAATTTGTATTCAAGACCTCATGACAACACTTTGTTATTTTTTCTTTTGTACGCGAGGCAGGGAACAAGAAAATTTCATTTAAAATGAAAATTCAACATTATTACCGTAAAAAAAGTGAAGTGAAGGATATTTTAATTAAAAAATACTTTTTATATTGTTTTATTATTAAAATACTCTTTTTATATAAAACGCTATCTATGGTAATGTAATATACATGATAATTAAATCGGCGAGTATAGTTTTTATTTAATTATTTATGAGGTCACACTCATGAACGATGCGCTAATAAATCACGCAGAAAAATCGAATTTCCCGGCCCACAATAACAAACTATATGATAACATCGACGCGGACAACGCAATTCATCCTGCTCTTGTCGTCCAAACACTATAATAAACCAACCCGTTGGTAGTTATCACATCTGATTTTCCACCCTTATATTTTGCTGCTACACGTGCCATGTCATTTGTTACCTAACAGCACATTCTAACCATAAAACACTATTCACCAGTAGTTTATGATTGTAATACAATACAATACATTAATTTGGCTGATGAATTTATTTATGTCATTTGTGGTCGTTTCAGATGTTAATCAAAGCGGTACCATTGACCGCAAAGATTTTGAACTGGCCATTGAGGTAAGTATGGTTGCCTAAGCTAGTACAGATTTAATGCAAAATGTATAGTTTTGCTTTTAGTATTAAATGTTAAATTCATAGCTGATTGAGGTTAAGTCGGGTGAAATGGCAGATTAAACTGTGCGATAATTATTAAATCTATTTAGTTTTGAAAGCATTGACGATTTTGCGGGTTTCCGGTTTTCTGGGATAGTGCCCAAAGTGGGTCTAACAAGTTTCTATTGGATCATTGCACGTGCTCTTATCTGCAATATGACGCAACGTATTCAGCAGGGTTACCAGAAGTTAAAATAATCATATTCTGAAATATTCTACAAACAGATATACATGTGTATTATTCTGTTAAATTTTTATTAAATGCTTAACAGATCATATAAATATTCAAAAATGTTCAGTGTTTGGTAACCCTAAATTTCCATTTTCTATAGAATTTCTATGCATACACCCAGAACCTGACTCGCTCTAGGCTTAAAGCTAAGTCCTGCATGCATTAGTATTCAAGACGTATCGTCGCTATCGAAAATTCGTATAGCGCCGTGGATGAGACCATCCCTTATCTGCTATCAGTAGTAACCCTCCTACCACATGCTTCCAGTCTACGCAGGGCGGTTTATAGATGACGCCATCAAAAAGGAATCCGAGGCGTTATTATCTTTTGATGTTATTAAATATATCAGTGGCAACAAGCCTCCCTTGAAAAGGGTCTACACCGAATTCCGGAAAAAGCCGAAATTTTTGTTCACAATAAATAGCTAATGTCAAATGATAGCACAGTGAATACATCTTATTCCCTAATGTAGGTCACCGCACTGATTGCAGCGTTCTGCATATATTTAACGCGTCTAATTAGAATTAAATGCTGAGCGAACGTTCGTTTGGGCGGAATAATTGACCCAAGGCAGTAAGGGGGCTAAATTCGGCGCGGCCATTATGACCGCCGCGTAATGTAATTACAACGCCACGTAAAAACCGCAATAGCGTTCCGCTCGCTTGAATTTACATTTTAATAAGACTAATAAACTGTTAATTGCCTTCGTCTCCAAGGGTGCAAATTACTACGTCATTTAGTTATGATTATATGATTTCAATGTTACCTACACCAGTGAATAATTTATTATTTTGTTTTAGAAAATTTGTACCCTGCGTGGTTGGAGCGCTGGAAGTCCGCAATATGCGAAGACTTTTGAGAGCATGATTCAAATCTGGGATGGGCTTAGGCAACGCGCTGATTCCAACAAAGACGGACAGGTATAACCTCAATTTTGAGCAATTTTGTTTTAAATATTAACGTAAAACAAATTTATTTTTTAGGTAAGCGTTGAGGAATGGTCCTCCATGTGGGATGAATACGCGAGGAACCCGGAAAACGCTCTGGACTGGCAAACGCAGTACTTGCGCTTCATGTTTGATCTCGAGGATGCCAGCGGCGATGGCAGCATTGATATGGATGAGTTTACCAGTGTCTGTTCTTGTTACGGACTGCAAATTGCCGAGTGCAAGGATGCGTTCCACAAGATGGCGCAGGTATAAATATCAAATGTTAATTTTTTTTCCTGTTTTCAAAGAAGTTTTGTTTCATCATGAGATTTAATCAACTTGAAATTTTAAACACAATTTCCCGCCGGTCCACTCTAACCTAACTTAATATAACTTTGCAACTTTAATTTAATGTTTCTTGTAGGGCAAGAGCGAAGTGAATTACGAGCAGTTTGTCGAATTGTGGAAGCAGTTCTTCATGACGGAGGACCCCAGCGAGCCGGGCAACTTCATCTTTGGCAAAACCTCCTTCTAACCGAGATAAGCCCACAGCGCATCTTAAAGCCACCAAAAACATAATTTATCTTCTCTAGAACAAAATAAACAGAACTCTCTTCGACGAAAAAAATCAGAAAAAAATACAAAAAAATCCCTCTCTTCAATAGTTTACGAATGACAACTAAATACTAAATCAATGTTCTTTGCATATCTAATTTGACATATGAGCGGAGTGTGCACAAAATTGGCTGACCTCCGCAACACTTTCTTCCGAAGTATTTCAAGAGATTTTTTCGAAATAAACGTAACGCGTAGCTGAAACTATTAACGAATTATTATAAACGAAATGTAAACGATGAAAGACATATTACTTATGTAGTTTGCTCCTATCTCTTGTCTCGTGCATTGCGCATACGATTGTATTGAAATATATCAACTATTACAAGGAAACAAAATTGATAAAACGTAAAAAATGCAAAATGAAATAAATAATAATACTAAATAGTTTTCTCGTTATGCTGTATGAATATTTACACATATCTCGTTGGCGACAATGCTTTTCATCGCATTGTCCGATTTTCGTAGATATTTTATAAAGAAAGCAACCTCCATCTGAAGCAAAGCCGTTGGAAAAAGTTTCATCTAAAGAAACTATTTAAAACCTGCAACATAATGTTGTAAAGCGTCTAATTCACACGGATTTGCATCCAGATGTGCGAGTTTGTTTTATTGTAACCTATGTTAAGCAAACAAAAAACTTTAATGCAAAAATGTTCGTCATGTGATGTCTTGTGGTGGTGTTGTGTCTGAAAAATAAAGATTTATGTGAAAAAGGTTATATTCATTTTAAAGGCCAGGTAAAAACAAGGAATATTTCTTGCGTACAGCGTACATCGATGCGCAGCCAATGGCAGAAAAGAGAACTATGATTTGCGTAATAAGCAAAGTAAAGTAAGTAAGTGTTTATACTTTTCGCTAGAAGATTACTGTATGTTGTACGCTCAAAATATCGTTATGATAACGATACTTTATTAAAACCATTGCAAATCAATGCAAGTGTTTGTCAAACCTGATGTGAATAAATATTTCGACCATTAGCGGTCTCGTCAGCACACCCGTTTTCATAACGATATTGTGAGGGTGTAGCGTATAGTAATTGTTTACTTTACTTTGCTTATTATTAATACTCACCCTCTCGTAAAATATTGTTTTTCAATATAATTTGTGTAATAATTGTGTATCATGGCTACAATGGATAAGCTTATATCGTTCGGGCTCCTGTGTATCTATACTTCGTGGCAACAACGCTGGGATATTTTTTAGTAGAAACAGACATTCTAGCGACATCTCGGAAATATTTTAAGAGTCCTGTTAGAAATCGTTTGCTTATGATATTGAATCGCACAACTGATTAGTAGCTGTACAAAAAATTGAATGGCAAGGCAATTGTGTACTTGTAATCGAAAGCAAGGACACGGATTTTAATGAAATAAATTATTAAATTAAACACAAGAAATTAAACATACACACTACATAGTAATGGATTGTATATTACATAATATCAGTTGATTAATCATAAAATTAATAAACATGGAAAACATAGTGTCGAAAACACACAGTATCTCAAAAACTATTTCACTTTTTGTAGTTTCTTATTGCCATGTTAAAGTTCAAAAGCCTCTCTACAAGACCTACCTTTTTAATCTTCTAGCTCTTTTCGGAAGTGTTCAAAATGCCTATTAAAAATTGGCAGTTTTAAAAAAGATTGATACAATGGTCTGGAAAACACCCGGTATCTTGCGAACTAATTGATTTCCTTAGAGTTTTGTACTACCAGATTATAGCTCATAAGTCCCTCTACACGATGCATATCTTCTTTCCCTTCCGAAAAATGCCCTTTAAAAATTGGCATTTTTCAATCAAATTAAAAACAAGGAATGGATAACACCCTGTACACCAAGAACTATTTGACATTTTTAAAGTTTCTTACCGCCATGTTAAAGCTCGAGAGTATTTCTAGCCGATCCATATCTTTCCAACCCCCTAACCCTTTCAAAAGTCCCAATAAAGCAAACATAGCATTTTCTGTCTCAAAAATTTCATTTTTTGGTCAAATAATAGGGTCAAACTTGTTTCTTAAATTTTTTTTTGACCGAAGAACAGGGTCAAATTAAAAAAAAGATTGGTCAAGGATTAAAGTAAAATTTTTTTGGTCCAATAACAGAGTTGAACAATTTTCTTAATTTCCATTTTTTCATAATTAATAACTTTTATTAACTTAAACAAAAAACTGTTTTATATATCAGAAATTCAAAATTTCAACTTATTAATTTAACGTTTCAACAAAAAAAATTTCAGAAAAAAGTTCGACCCTGTTCACGCAAAAAATAATAAGAGAAAAGTTTGACTCTGTTGTTCACGCAAAAAAAATTTAAGAGAAAAGTTCAATTCTGTTATTTGACCAAACAAAAATTGACCTTAATACTTGACCAAAAAAATTTTCAAAAAATTCGACCTTGTTGTTCGACCAAAATATGAAATTTTTGGGACAGAAGAAGCTATTTTTGAAGTGCTCTTTAGGGCCCTTCTGGAAGGGTTAGGAGTTTGGTAGGACGTGTATCGCCTAGAGATACTCTCGAACTTTAACATGGGTCTAAAACATACTGAAAGACCAGCTAATTACACAAGATTCAGGGTTTTCCATACTATGTTTTCATATTTTGTTAAAGACGTCAATTTTCAAAGAGCAGAGTAGGTATACATTATGTAGAACGACTCTTGAACCGTAAGATACTTTTAGATAGTCAATTAGTTACTAGGGTACATGGTGTTTCCGACAGCATATTTTTTAATGTTTGTAACAACGCTCATTTTAATAGGTACTTTTGGGCACTGCCAGTAGTTTGGGGTGTAAGGAAATTACTCAAATAGTATAGGTAATCAGAATGTTATCACCCATAACACCTAAAAGATAAAGAATTTGGTCAATCAAGGAAAATATGAAACAACAATCTTATCCATTAAACCAACGTTATCAAATTTCTTTCTATATAATCATAATCCAACTCACGAAGTGTATCTATACTTCGAGCCTAATAAGAAAAATAATAAAATTAGTATGGTGTACATTGGGTTGCCTATAATAAGAATACTTGTTTCAGAGATGTAATACTATAAGACAGGGTTTCCCAACCTCATAGCGATTTGCAAACAAATATAGAATTAAAATTGATTCGAATCATGAATGCCATATTCGTACAAAAACAGGCTGCGTCAGTGAACAACAGCACCTTGTTAATAATAACACTTAATTAATGTAATTCTCGCCTGCATAATGGAAAATTCTGGCAAATATTTGCAGTACGTTTTTCTTTTCATTTACATGTTAATATTTTAATAGTAGTCGTCAGAACCATTGTTAATTAATTGTATATTAATTACTTAATATTGATTTATTTCAAGAAATTCGGAAGTGAGTTATTCTCACCATTATTTAATGATTCTTTTTGGGCCTTTAGTCTATCTTACTTTATAGATGTTGCAAGTCAACAAATTAATAACTGTTTTCAGCTGCTACGATGCATAACAAGAGTGTTTGATAATTATTTCTTGCAGATTTTCCTTCTACAAAAGCTAAAAATGTCTTAAAACAAAAGTTACAAACGTTTAATTACTCGAGCAAATTTGTAATACACCACCAGGAAAACTGATAGTATCAATGCAAATAATATGGCTGCAAATAGATTATCAATATAAATAAACAATTTCCATATTTATTGCAATTTACGCAAATGCATAAATATTTGCAGTCTCGGACAGTAATTGCACATGTTCCATTTACTTTATTTAATTTGCATATGTGTTTGCCGCTTATTTGATATTGTTCACCAAATGAGCCATGGTTACGGGCGCGTGTTTGTTGATAACCGTGTTGGCACAAAACCACGTCATTACAAAACAAAAGCATTGAGTTTGACGTGTTGCTTCACGATTCAATTTCATCGCGATTCCGAAACGCTCGAACGCTGCAGTTCGATTAGCAGCATCCCAAACCAATGGCAGCAATTGCACGCACATCAAACCAAGTTTATCGTTTACCAGTATTTTTACTAGCAACTGCACTGTTTTCGCTGTTTTTTAATGCGGATTTTTGTGCGTGCGCATCCAAAGGCATCATTGCAGAATTAACGGATGAGTACTTCGAGCAAGGGCTGTTGGACTACAACAATGCGGTCGTGTTGTTCTACTCACAGAAATGTGTACACTGCAGTGATTTTATGCCAATCTTCGAGTTAGCAGCGGATGAATTAATACGCAACGAACCGCCTGTTCATTCCGCTATGGTGGATTGCATGGATGCGGGAAAACAAGTATGCAATACTGAAGAAATCAATCATTTACCAAGTATTAAAATATATCGCAAAGGAAGACTTTACGATGAGTACGATGGGCCAAGAAAAGTCGATGATTTGGTTGCCTATATGAAGAAATTAGTTGGAATATCTTCAAAGGAGTTACCTTTAGATAACCTACAGAAGTTTGCAACATCTCAGAAGGACGTGGCAGTAGTGGCAATACTTCGATCAAAAGGAAACTTGCGAGATAACTATTTTAGTTTACCAGCTGAATTATCAAAAGACATTCGTTTTGGACACGTTACAGTGGAGGAAAGCAAGATGGCTGACTTGAACATAACCTATGGTGTAACTCTGTATCATCCGGAGCACATGCGGAGTAAATTTGAACCATGGGAATATTCATACAATATAAAAAACGAAGGTTATGATCTCGAAAAATTTATTTTCAAAAATCGTTATGGACTTGTTGGAATACGTGGAATTCGACAGGTGGACGACTTTGCACCGCCATTGGTTATTATTTACTTTCGAATTGATATACATTTAAAACCAAAAATGTTATCATACTGGCGTAATCGAATTTTAAAAGTGGCTAAAAACTACCAGCAATCGTTTAGATTTGCTGTCTCGCCAATTGATGATTTCCAACATGAGTTTGTTAAATTTGGAATTCCCATGCCAGATGAAAATAATCGAGATAAACCTTTAGTTTTTGCAATCCTAGAAAACAACATAAAATATTTAATGGAAGAAGAATTCACAATGGAAACATTTGAGGCATTTTTAGAAGGAGTACTAAACAAAAATATTGAAGCGCATTTAAAATCACAACCTGTTCCTGAAGAAACAGCAGAAAAAGGAATGGTCCAAACAGTTGTAGCCAAAAATTTCAAAAGTCAGGTGTGGGGCAACGAAAAAAATGTCCTTTTGGCATTTTATGCACCGTGGTGTATGTTTTGCAAGGAACTGAATCCTATTTTAGACAAATTAGCAGAAAATGTAAGTTATTGATCACCAAAAATCATAAAATATTTTTTGATTATTTTTTTTTAGTTGATTGAAGACAACGTTGACATATTTAAAATGGACGGAGTAGAAAACGAGATTCCGTCTGATTTTACAATTCCACGGTTTCCAACTCTATATTACATCTCCAAAGAGGATAAACACAATCCAATATTGTATAAAGGTGGTGCAAATTATCAAGAACTCTTTTCGTTTGTAAAGCAACACTCAAGTGAAAAACTGAATTATCGTACTGAATTGTAAACTGAACTTTTTACAATTTTATCTAAAAACATCAAAGAAAAAAAGCTATGCAACGTAATCGCATTATAAATCGGTTAGGTTAACTAACATTAATTAATTATAATTAAATTAACGGTACGTATGTAAAGATGCGAAAAAAGCGATAAAAAGCGCGTATCAGATTTCAATAGAAACGACGACAACGCGCACGATAAAATTCCGCGCGGTGCGTTACGCAGAACTAAAAGCAATAGTTAGCGATGCGCGGGTCGAACGGATTCTCTCGATAAGGCGACTCATTTACACTGCATGACGAGTGTACGCGAAGTGGACAAATGAACTTTAACAGAATTCGCGGTTTCGCACCGCAAAGGAGCAGCGATCGCCACCGGCGTGGATGGCGAGATATGAGAGACGCATGAGATGCGGGCAGCAAGCGACGACGATCTTTGGCCTAGCGCATTTGCGCATTCACTGTCGACGCAAATTATACAATGCGTCGACATGTGTAACCCGAGCGATGCACGTTTGTCTTTTATAAGTATGACATGTCCGTGTGACATGCTTTACGCGTATGCGGTGCGTGCAGAAACCGCACGAACATGCACAACTTGTGCGGGAGATTGTGTAACGCTATCAATTTGCATCATTTTATATCAACATAATCATTATTTTGTGGTACAAAGTATTTTGTGGTTAACTGCAGAGGGATATCAAATTTTCCAGGAGCGAAAAATATCGAATCTTTGTGTGGCGCTCTGTTTTATTAAAAATTGCAATAGTTGACAAACAAAAATAAGAAAAAAATATTCATAAATGTAATACAAGTTATTTTGCGTGAATTTCCCGTCAAATATTACAAAAAAAAACATTTATCTTTTATTTTGGTAAAAATTACATTTTTGACTTCCTTTTTAACCTTTTTATAACAAACTAGCTTTTGCCCGCGACTTTGTCCCGGTAGTGTTTAATAAAAATGTAATTCGTTTTTACTCTCTTGTTCTAGACATAGTATGTGTCAATTCTATCAAAAAGATTGGCAATTTTATTCTAAAGAAATGAATTATATAAATAATTGCTAATAATGCACTTCAGCGCGCCATCTCAGATTCAACTATTTAACTATAACTATGATTGAATCTCAATTTTATTTTATAGAAAATGGCTGTTTTTGAGATTTTCCCGGTAATTATTCGAATTTTTCTCGCCGTAAAAACCATCCTTGGACTTTAACAAACATTAAAAAAAAGAATTGGCCAAATTGGTCTAGGCGTTGTTGAGTTATGCGCTTACCAACATATTTTGCAATTTATTTTTATATTATAGATAGATTTAGCTTGCATATACTACAATTTTATGTTTTGTTTCATTGCAAGCAATTAAAATCATTTAAAACGATCAACGCGGATTTCAGCATTAAAATCCAATGATTTTTTTAGTTCTCACCAGTTTAGAATTACCATAAGCATGAAACATTTGAAGAAGTATTCGTGAATTCAATAATATCTCAAATTTATGTTCGCCGGCGCCGTCGTTTCTTCTTTATTCTTTGTATTCTACATTGTGTATATGATTGTTATTAACTCATTTGCCTGCCGAGTAGTTTTGTATTAATATGTATTATTGCGTATGATTATGTGATTGTGGGTACAGTTACCTTAATTTCCATCGTTTTTATTCGTGAGCCGTGGTGCGCATCCTGCATGGAGGTGAAAGGTCGTCACTTTTGGCGGCGCGGGTTAGGATTAGAGAAGATTTCGGGCCGATCTGACGGCGAAATTTATCATCTTGCGGGTGTCAGGCGACACGCTCGACGCGAACAATACGTTTCTGATTATCCTCGATTTGTACGAGTATTTTTATCGATCGCCGGGGTCAAGTTTAAGGTTATAAAGGTGCACATCAATGTGAATTGATTAAGAAAAAAATTAAGCAGTTATGTTTACACATAATTTATCTGATGATTGCAGATAATAAGCAAACCGTTCATAAATTAACTCGAATTGCGTGCAATATGAATCCGTTTTGTTTTATTATGCAAAAAGTAGAGTAATTAAATAATGCGAGAATCATTGATCGAAGTAACCAAGATCTGATTTGGGTTATGAAAAGTGGATCGCAATTAATCATCTCATTGCGTCGCGGTTTCGAAGACGCAGTCGAGGCATTATTCATTTATTAGCCGTCCCGCAATTAGCAAAGCGCAACAATTAAATAATATTAGTTATTATTAGTCGTGCCACATAAAGTTCGCCGCGGCAGCGTGCGCGCGCGCGTAATAAGTATTAAATTTGAATATTTACGAGCGGCGCGAGGCATTCGGCGTAATTATTGTGAATTACCGTGCGAGACCCCGCAGCACGACTACGCCGCCGGACGAGATTATTGTTCTCGCGAATGGCATTAGAAGCCGGGCAATTAATTAACTAAAATCGTTTGCTTTCGAGCTCAGACAGCAACTGTTCTACATGGAATATCTACATCATACAAATATTTATACATGATGTACCTATCTACATACTACGAGTCTAAATAAATGTATAAATATTTTGCTAATTTACCGAAAGACCAACATAAAAATATAGAATATTTATCTGTAGTGTAGTAGTGTTTAATAAAAATGTAATTCGTTTTTACTCTCTTGTTCTAGGCATAGTATGGGTCAATTCAATCAATAAGATTCGCTAATTTATCTTAAAGAAATTAATTATATAAAGGATTGCTGATAATGCACTTCAGCGCGCCATCTCGGATTCAACTATTTAACTATAACTGATTTAATCTCAATGCCAACTTTTCTTCTATAGAAAAGCCCTGTCTTTAGGGTTTTCCCAGCAATTATTCGAATTTTTTTCGCCATAAAAACCATCTTTGGACTTTAACGAATATTTTAAAAAATGAATTGGCTAAATTGGTCGAGGCGTTGTTGAGTTATGCGCTTACCAACTGATTTTGCGATTTATTTTTATATTATAGGTGTGCATGTGATCTGCGCAAGCGTCAATTTAAATATGCTGCCATCTAGTGGGCGTACTTTGGTAAAATGTCCATTATCACACATTTTATGCTCTTTTTGGTCAATATTATTGATTTCGTACAGTTAGCATGCACAATATGTGCAAAGTAAGTTTCTGGCACATGAGCAACAGTAACGCGTGCGCTAAACGTTGCAAGCTTACTTTTTGCGAGCGCACGTTGTTCCAGTTATTCAGACAGTGTATAGGTGTGCGCGCGCATCACTGATGGCGGCCGGCACTGGCACAATGTACAGTTGCGCAAGGGGGTACGTGACGAACAGTTAAAACACGAGTCCAGAGTGGCGTTGATTACCGCGAAATGCGTATAAGTAAATAATCCGCATTATGTCGCCAACCCGACTATTTTTACCATCCTCGCCTTGCTGCACGCCGCTGGGACGCAGTCTTAAGCGCACAATTTATGCCCGCATAAGACGCGCATTCCGAGCGTTTGCATACGCCGTTTGGGCGTAAATATTAAGACGTAAAACGCATCGTGTAATGGTGTGAATGGATGCAAAAAATGAATGAATACGATGGAATGGCACACCACAGCATCCAGCCGCTTCATGCAGGACGGTAAAGAAGTAAATTTACGACATTTTCTGCGGGCGCAGTTACAAAAACTTTTATAAAAACAATGAATTTCAGGTTATTCTATACCTAACCTTATTTCTGCATATGATAATCAATAAAGCCACTCATTAATAAAGCAGTAAATCCAAACACCAATAATGTTTACGGAAACACTTTTATGATACCAACAACTAATAAGTTACTAACAGTAATACAAATTATCTAAAAATTTTATGACTCAAAACGTTTAACTGCAAATGCCAGCGATTGCGCATGCGTGTAATAACGTCTCATGTTATGATCACTAATTATTACTCTTACGACTCTTCACAATTAGAAACAAAATTGAATAATCCTATTAACATTGCCGTGCGCTTTGTAATCGGTGCGCTATGCTGAAGCGTCGCACAATTATTGGCAATTATTTAAACACAAACGGTATTGTCGGTAACATCAGTTAGATGCGCATGCTCACTCGAAGCGAGTCGCATATCGCAGCCTCTAATTGTTGATTAGATATAAACAATTTACGGTAAATTACAATCATACCACCGCATTTAGAATCACTTTAGTTTAGAATTATTGCATTTACTTATGGCATTGATATAACACTATGTTAAAATGCTTTACTATGCATAATAATGTTATTACTCAATTCGTACATTTTCAGGTTATAATGCGCGTGTAGTAAATAGGAAATTTCTTGCTTCGTTGCCTCTTCGCTTCGGCGTTTCTTTTGAGCGTGTGCAAAATGCAATTTATCTTTCATTAGAATACAATTTAGCGTAATGCCATTAGTTATTAGAAATAAAGCGCCTTTGAAGAGCGGTGCCCGTGCGCCGCAAACAAATACGCAATAACAATAAAATCTTCGGTTGCCGCGGCGTGGCGTCGCGCCCATGCGGGAATTTGTTTATTCCGCGCGGCGTGCGCACGCTTGCTTATATGGCGATGGAGATATAGCAAGACGTGTTCTCGGTAAGCGATATGCAAACGAGACGACGCCTCCTCAGCGCATTTCTTGCGGCGTTTAAATATTTTCTAAAGAAATGCAAAGCGGGAAAGACTTAAGACCTGCGTCTGTGATCGCATCTTTAAGTTATGACTTGAGTAATAATTGTGGAATTACATAATAACAATACCGGCAGTGCACATAGATTATTGATGCGTAGTTTAGAGGTTATGTGCGTATTGTATTGTAATATATAATTTGCACTCCAGGAATGAAGTTTTTCATTAATTTTTTGATGGAATTCGATAATGCTGTAAGCAAATTAACATTAAATGCACTTTAGAGATTATAGGTTATATTTTTATTAACCAAAAAACCATTTTCTACTTTCATCTTTAAATTTCTACTTTTTCCACGGTTTTGAGACACAAAAAGTGGGACTTTAAACACGGACGGCCAAGGTAGTGACTAAAGTACTTTAGTCACGCGCTTTAGTCATGGGTAAAAGCTTGCGCCTGCGCATTTTCCTACTGTGCAGCACAAGACCTGATCTGAAATGCCATGCGCTCATGTCTACGCGGCGCGAAATTCAAACTTTGAAAATTTAAAATCCAAAAGTTCAAATATAAAAATCTCAACGTGAAAATAAAGAGGATTTTTTTGCAGATATTTCACAGATCTCAAAATTTTTGAATCCTAGCTGTTTAGAACCGTCAAAAGTAAATGAAGACGAATGACTGCGTTTTACTGTTTGAGAGTGATACAATTCCAACTAATTAAGAAACTTATTACACTCTTATTAGATGATATTAACTAATAAGTATAACTGCTCACCGGCACAGCCAGCCGTAGTTGGGTAAAATGGTAAATAAAGGGTTATCCGCTCCAGCGGCGCGATTCGGCCGCGCTCCCGATATTAATTAGCTAACGAACATCACCTCGGACTTATATTCGTCATATACGCGGCGGTTCCGGCGCGCCGCGCAATTACCTCGAAACGATCTCGCACCCGTCGGAAACGAGAGCAAAAGGCACACGTCGATGCCTTTTATTATTCGTTAAATCGCGCTATTTGCGCGTTGATTATGCTCGATGCTTGCGATTTAACTGTAAAAATGCTACAAATTACACAAGAATTAAAACCGACGTTATTTTATCATTTTGGTGAGTAATATTAGCACAATTACAACAATTAATATTTTGTAGTTTATAGTGGAATTAGAGGGTAACGATTTAATTATTTTTTATAAACTCCACCAACAATTTGACCAACAATTAGATAGTAATTTAAATGTAGTGTTATGACAGGTTAACAACCACTTGAAAATGTTTAAATTCACACCTCAGTCAAAAACGTAACAACTTCCTTTGTATGAGAATGGATTTGAGTGTGTCTATTCATACAATGATTAGTACTTACAATTTGATTATTATGAATATTATTAAGTGAAGCACCTGTCCGAAATTTAGGAACCGAATGAATGTGAGTTTAGTGAACGTGAGAAAATCCAAAGCAATTTCCCTCGGCATGAGTCCAACTGATCAATTGATCCAGTTCCTCATTATAATCCACTTCCCAACCCGGAATGCAGCAGTCCACATTCCAGTGGCGCTCTCGACGGATTCGAAGGTTTGCACTTTTGTACGGCTGAAACGATGCGAATGCACCGTTGTTCTTTCGGATTTTTGTTCGTCATTTTTTGCGGCGCTGTGCCCGAAAAGTAAAACCCGTCATTATGCGATTATTAACCTGACAGGCTGTGCGAACGGCCGATCCGGCGGGCCGAAGGCGCTTCCAGGCGCGCCGCGAATATTTCGTTGATAAAATCAGCGCGCCTTGGCCAAGACACTGCAGCACGCAATGGAAAAAAAAAACATCACACATATGCATCATGAGTTGCATCGCGAATGTCAGCCGGTTGCCGCTTCGAAAATATGCAATTAGCCCCGTTAAAAACAAAAAGCCGGCGCGCGCCATCAACGGGGCCAAAATTTGTATGTGGATGCATCGTAAAATGCGCTTAAATCTGTAATAAACAAGCGGAATCTTTAAATTCCATTCAGATTACGGTTGTATAGTGCCAAAATGCAAAACGTTTATTTTTATGCGATATGTTTACATATTTTTACATTCCGTTATATATTCTAGTAGGCCATTTAAAAATTTAAAGATAAATATTTTATAAATCGCCCTGTATTAAAAATTAGAATCAAACATGCATGTTGATTGATCTTTCTTCACCATTCGATTCGTGAATCGTTTCGATTCCTCGCGAATGACTTGCCGATTCTTCAAAATCATGTTTCATTTCACGTTTGCGTGCTCTCGCGCGTCCGTCTAGTTAAACACATTTTCGATTCGCATTCATGCACGAGCATGGCGACGGTGTTTGCATGCCATGAATGAAAATCTCGTCCGACGTCGAAACGTGAGCCGAACACGTTTCGCATTCATTTCGCAAGGGGTTATCCGTAAAGTCGGCCAAGTCGCAAAGGACGAAAAACTATTTCGTTTTCTACGTAAATAATAAATGTACAGTTACGCGAATGTTTTGTGTGTGAATTGGCTACAACTACGGCACAAAACATCATGTAAATCAAGTGGTTTTCGTCCAGCTGTGAAAAATTTACGAATTTGAATTAATGAAAACTTGTTATTTGTGTTGCATAATTTTAACATACCAGATGTAAAATATGTACAATAGTTTTCAACATTTTTGCATAGAATTTAAGAATCATCCACACTTAACCTTATTTTTGAGTTTAATTGAAAAATTGTCTGTTAAACTCTGTTTATGTTTTATTTATATCATTTTTTGTCAGCAAGATAATAAAAATTAATTTGCCTCAAACACAATAAATTGTTTGTCATTCGCATGTCGCGAGATTTGACTGAGCGCCTTGTTTGTTTAGCCCAATCGCATAATTTAAATATAAAACTTTATGATAATTAATTAACGCCAGATTTCCAACAGCGCTGGCGCGGTATCGCGCGCTAATTAAAATTTGTCGCGTTTAACTTCTCGCGTCGATAAGCGGCGATCGACGAGATGGACGTGATACGCGCGTAATATTTAGGCGTGCTATTCGTGACACTTTTGATGATCCAGTTTTATACACGATGAATATATATTTTTTTGTTGTCATCTGAGAACCACCAGATGTGATCGACTTTGAATCGGTTTCATTCAAATTCGTTACGATGTCGTTTGGAGCGTTTTTGCGTGCTGAATTTCACTTAATTGGTCAGAGGAATGTTAATCGTGACCAAATGGACAAGTCGGAGTGTATAATAGTAATAGAATGGAGTAAAAATATACAAAAAATAAGAATTTTAATAGAAGAAATCAATCAGTTTTAATATTAGTATCAAAAAGTTTTGTTTTTGCACGTAAAGCAAGAAAAATTTAAAAAACTAGCTTTTGCCCGGTAGAGTTTAAAAAATATAATTTGTTTTTACTCTCTTGTTCTAGACATAGAATGTGTCAATTCTATCAATAAGATTCGCAATTATATTTTAAAGAAATTTATTATATAAATAATTGCTAATTATGCACTTCAGCGCGCCATCTCGGATTCAACTATTTGACTATAACTATGATTGAATCTCAATGACAACTTTTATTTTATAGAAAAGGGCTGTTTTTAGGGTTTTTCCGGCAATTATTTGAATTTTTCTTGCCGTAAAAACCATCTTTAGACTTTAACGAACATTTAAAAAAAGAATTGGCCAAATTGGTTTAGGCGTTGTAGAGTTATGCGCTTACAAACAAAGTTTGCGATTCATTTTTTTATTATAGATTTATTTGTTATGCAACTTGTTGATCACAAGTACAATGAGGATGCTTCTGACGTTAAATTTGACTCCAAACTACTTAATATTTGGCAACATTATGATTTTAAGTTATAGAGCCTTTACACATCTATAAAAATGATGGGCTTGATAATAATATGTTTTGACACAAAGCCATACATCGCACATCGCAACGTTAATGCAAGTTACAAATATTTGACTTCACTGGGCGCACACATATACGTGCCCTTTGGCGACACTGATCGCTCGTAAACAAAGCAGTAAATTAATTCTTCTCAAACGTCTATTTTGATAGTGCTCGCCGAAACAACCCAAAAGAGTTTGATAATTATTAGACATAAATTCCAATCAAATTGTCTACGCAACACAAGAAAACCGCGTTTGGGTGAGCGAGTTATATTGAATTATGAACGATTTTTACAACACACAAGCAGCCTGCATCGCTCTCAATGTCCATATTTGACAAACCGTACGAAAAGTGGTTGGTGCCTTCAGGGCGCAATTCAATTGGAGCGTCGAAGAAAATTTTAGCAGAATTTAACACATCACATCGCTGCATTTGAGTCGGGTTGATGTGAATTCTTGGAAGAGTTAACTTTATAAAAAATGACAAAACGGATGGCAAAGTCCTTGACAAATCGATATGTTGCGTCTCGATCATACGCCAAAGTAGGAAGAAACCACTTAAGCCAGTACGCAGCGCGTCGCAAAGTCGCGATCTCAGCGAAATTCACCGGTAGCGGAATGATGGAAGATGTTGAAGATTAGGCAAGTGCAGGAATATCGCACACGCTGGCTACAGTGCACTGGATGCGTGTCGCGTTGATGGATTCTTGCGCACCAGCGACATGTGTAAAGCGCGCGCGCGCGCGCAACTCCTGCTCTTCTTCTCAGCGCGGTGTGCGCGAGTCGTTGCCCTTTCGATTCACCTGCCGTAACAGCGACAAGTGCCCGGCGCACGCGCGCCCCACGACTTGCCGTCGAGACTTCTTCGGCGCGGTCGCGGGCTCAGTCGCAGTATTGTGCGCGTGATACATAGTCGAACACAATTCATCCTCGCGCGCATCCACCAAACACGTTGGTACGTTGGTTGACTTCGCAGTTGGTGCGCAAAGACACGTTACTTCCGCGCGGCGGCTTATCAGTGTGTGCGCGTCCGCAGTCGCGATTTGCGTGTAACTTCGTGCATCTACCACAGGACGAACAGGACGAGTTTTTGTTCGGCAGAGAGCCAGGCGAAAAAGTGAGTGGAGCGCGCGCCGCGCGCACAGCGCTGAGAAGACCAACCTGTCGGAATCCGGAGCGTGCGGCTTGAAAAAATTTCGCCCGGCGTCATGTCTTTCGGCCGATGACATCGCCATTCGATTCGATCGCCGAAAGGTAGGAACGTAAGAATTTTTCTTCGCCGTGTGCGTGCGATGGTGTATATACCAATGTGCGAGTGGTTAGTGTGCGCGTGTACATGTGCGTTTGTGTGTGTTGTGTGCTGCCGGCGCGGTGTGTTAACGCTTTTCGCAGAAATGCGTACACAACTTACGCATGCTTTGCGACCGTCCACAAAAAATACGTCCTCAAGCTTGCTTAAGTTTACGCATCAGTTCGATTCAGAATAAAAAAAAATGATCAAATTGCTCGACTCGAGATTAATTGAACATTCGTTCTCGGAATCAGTCTTCTTAATTTAATCGTTAAACTTTTGTCTACTTAAATTAGATTATTCTAATTAATTTGATTTCGGTTGTAAATTCCATGCCACTGAAACAATACTCTCTGTAAAGCCCACTTACGCCCGTGAGAGGCGTTTAACACATTCGCGCATGGCGCATGCATGACTCAAGTGGATCCATTAGAATAAAATGTGTGTAATAAACCGAACAACGATACACTTTTTCCCTCGACTATTTGATTCTCGTGTCTCCGGTGTAAAAACTATGTCAGTCGTACGCATCTTGAACGCGCCCGGCGTGCCCGATTATGCGCCGCGAAAGTAAATAAGTAAATAAACGCGGAACGCGCGTGTGAATCGCAAGGCGGTGTAGTGTTACTTGAACTAGTTTCCCAGCAGACTGCCAGACGAGACGCGCATATCCGCGTCGAAACTGGATGGGCGCTGTAGAGTTGGCGGCGGGAATGCGCGTCGATAAAGCGCTAAATTGTGCAAAAACGAATGCATCGATCCGCGCGAATCTAGGTAAAAATGAGTCATAAATCAGATTCGAGCGCAACCTGCTGTACAACTGTGCGCAGATGTTGTAGCAGCTGCGGAAATGCGGCTAATTCAATATTTATCTATGTGGAACAAGGAAATGCGGAAGTTATTTTGTAAAAATCAATTAAAATTTAATATAAGCTGTTTATGGAAAAGCGATTATAATTCACGTTATTTGTAATGCACAGAACACAAAGATCTTGACCATCTGTATTATTCAAGTCGCATTTGTTATAAAAGTATTAACCACTTGTGCTTCCGCACAATAATATCAAATTTTAGACAATTATTGAGATCTAAAAGTGTTCATTTTCATATGGTCTCGAAAAAAAAAATGAATAAAAGTCGCTGTTTTCAAATATTTCGAAAACTTTTCATGGTAAACTTACAAAATGATTAAACCCTTGATGTTTTAAAAGATATTGTGCAGCAAAACGCACAACAAAGCTTCAAATTCACGTTTCTCAAATTTTTGCCTTTTGCCAATTTTGTTAAAAATTAAAACTCTCCGCAATTTTATTTGAATAATCACAAATTATACCCAAACATCATAATCGGATACATAAATATCTACAAAAACGTTTTTTTCCTTTTTTTTTCTATTCGTCAAGTTGTGTTTAACAAATTTTCGAAATTAAAACATTATAAAACATCTCCGGATGTTGGTACGTTGAGATGTAAAACAAAATTTAAATCCCTGTTTGATTCCTTAATTGGCAACGAAAGTTACGACCCATTTCCGGATTCTTCTCGGCCATCACCATATCCTTTCGTAAACATATTCTAAAGATTATACATATTAACTATCTGCGCTTGAATGCTCGCGTGATGTTTGATTTGCAACAAAATCATATCAAATCTAATCGATTACGACGCGCGGTCGGTAAATTAATAAGAAAATCAATTAAAGTGAACGCCCACAGCCCGCACCACGATTCCTATCTTATTTCTATCATTGCGCATTAGCGAATAATTGAAAATTGATTGCTGATTTCATATTGATAGTAAGCAGATAGTAATCGGAGTTAATTTAAAATTTAATGTTTTCGATTATTACTTTTATTGAAATCATAAATATAAAGTTTCATTTCTAATGAATGATTTGTGAACGGATAACACTTTCGTTGATGATAAAAATATTAACAATAGGTGCCAATAATGAAATTTAAATTCTTGCCTGACTGTCATTCATATTTTATTTGAGTTTTTATTTTCCATTGCGAAACAATACGAACCCATCGAAAAACAATTTAGATCGGTATCTTGCTGACCGATAATTATGTTCTTAAGCAACTAATTAGCTTATTAGTGACTTTTAATTAATTTATTATTAATGGAAACCTTCATTCACTCCCGGTTTCCTTTCGCGCGGGCTCCGAATTACGACACACGCAAAATTTATCGTTTAGTGGAGATGTGTCTTTGTCTCTCGTAATTTATTTCGCCTTTCTCATCCCGAATTACTAATTAATAGTTTTTCTATTCGGCGAGACGAGAAATTCGGCGCGAGATGTAGATGAAGAGCACGACCGACGCCGCCGAGAGCGCATTATTATTAATATGTTTAGAAACGTTTTAAAACTAATTATAAACTGATGCCATAATTGACGCCGCTCGCCGACGATGGCCGGCGAAGGAGAGATGCGCGATGCGTGCCAACGTGAGCAGACGCTAATTAAAAGTGTCTTTAATTAGGGAACTCACAAACCAAGAACAACATTGTGTGCATACAGTGTGTCCAATCAAAATTAATAATAATATTAATATAGTCATCGAACTTCGTAATAAATTTTATTTCAGGCTGGAAAATAAGTTGTATGTGATTACATTATAAAGTAATTGTATCAAATCGTCTCGAAAGTTATTGTTTGCGGTTCGATTCATTAGATTCAAGCTGAAGTTCGCGTATTGTGAGTAAAGTTGGTTCTCTGAATGAACGTCGATATCGCCGTGCTTCTCCACTGGAAGACTCGAACTGGAACGTAACTAATTCGCTGATTTATAAAAGTAACTGTTCCGCCAATGTTGTGCTCGCCTCACGTCTCGCTTCTTTTTCGCATGTCCAGCGCGCAACTCTGCTCTTTGCACTTTGCGTTCACAATCACAATTTTTTGCCAACCTTCTTCTTCAATCGGTATTTTTAATGTAGGTAATAATTAAAAATATATATTGTAAATAAAATTGTAACCCGACGATTATGAATATTGCGGTAAAAGAAAACCGAACAAAAAGCGCAAAAACATACGGCGGATGCAGTCGGCGTGCGCCATATGTGCGAGACGCGCGCCAGCTCAACTGCTACCGCGGATGATCACCAACATCATCATGAGCATGATGAAGAAGCAATTTATGAGTTTTAGCAACAATTGAATTGGTGCTAAACGGGGACGCTGTCCGGCGATGTCGCGTAAAGCTGCGTATTGTCTGCTGAGTGCAGAAGAAAAAAACGAACGGGAATTGTTGGGGAAAGCTTCTGCATCGACAGATGGAAACTATCCAGAATGAATAATCTCTTAAATATTAATATTTCTTTTTACAATTGCTTTCTACATCAGGATTATTACTAAAGAGTTGAAGGAAAGTTGAAAATTTGAAATTTGAGTTATGTAAAACTGTGTTAAAGGTATATTCTAAATAACTAAATAATGAATCTCAATCGGAACTAATTTTATGCCACATTAAAGTTAATCGCAATTTTTATTCATTTTTATTGTTTTTTCAAACAATAAAATTTGTACCTTTATGAGAAAAATCTTAAATTACTCTTCGAAAATTTCTAAATCTGATATTAGAAATTTTACGATCGTACCGGCAGTTTTAATAAGCATATTACCTGCCATCAATATGCGAATCAGCGATGCGCAAACTCGGAACACCTGGCGCGCGCCTGTCTTATCGTCGTCATTAAGATTCCCCTATTTTATATCTATCATCGCCAGAGAACAGAATAAAATGCAGTTTCCTATTTTTATCATTGACACAAATTCGATTAGCAATTTGCGTTCGTGCATTAATTTCGCATACGCGTTAATCTCGCCAGTCACTATTATCTTATTATCTCGTTATAGGCGCACAAGTGCGCCGATTACGGATATAATGGGACGGTTGTGGGCCGATTTGTGTACACTGTTTACGCGCCTGCCACACGGCTAATTAACCGCAGGAGAGGCTGATCGTCGGCGGACTAATAAGGCGCGAACACTAATAATGTGCCACGCACGTCGACGCGAAGGTGGCTTCAATTTCATTGAAAACTGCTCAATGGATGCGGAGAACAGTGTGAAAGACTGCCGTATCCACTTTTGTTTATCCTATTATATTATAAATGCGAATTGGTTTGTTTGTGACGCATTCACACAAAAACCACAAAATTAATTTTGATGAATATTGGTATAGAGTTAGTTATGATCAAAGAAAAGCAAATAGGCTACTTTTTATCGGCGAATTATAACTGGAAGAGTGAAAAATAAGGACTGAAAATAGTTTTGAAGATTCAATCATATTTATAATCATACTAGCTTTTGCCTGCAACTTCGTCCCGGTAGTGTTCTTGTTCTAGACATAGTTTGTGTGAATTCTATCAATAAGATTCGCAATTTTATTTTAAAGAAATTAATTATATAAAGAATTGCTAATAATGCACTTCAGCGCGTCATCTCGGATTCAACTAATTAACTATAACTATGATTAAATTTCAATGCCAACTTTTATCCTACAGAAAAGGGCTCTCTTTCGGGTTTCCCTGGCAATTATTGGAATTTTTCTCGCCGTAAAAACCATTCTTTTACTTTAACGAACATTTAAAAAAAGAATTGGCCAACTTGGTTCAGGCGTTGTTGAGTTATGCGCTTACCAACAGATTTTGCGATTCATTTTTATGTTTTAGATATGAATCACAATTTTGCAAAGATTAGAAATAAAAATATTTCAAAAAGTGCATTTTTGCAATAATTTTCATGTAAATTCAGCAAATTGGAAATTGTTTCACATGATTGAATATACACGTCAAGATCAATTTCGTATCTTAATTATTGAACATTATTCAATATTACATAATGCTCCTCGGGGACACACGAAGCAAGATCGCATCGCATCCTTTATCATCATCCTCTATCTTGTCTCGGATACTCATACCGCGCTCGTAGTCTATTAGCCGACGCTGGCCGGCGCATTCCCAACGCCTTTTCGACATCGTGCGGCCGCGTCCGTGTCCGTATCAAGTGGACATCGTAATCTAACATAATTCCAAACGTATTCACACAACAATGAGTGCATCCGACCGTCGCCCATTAAATAATACGAGTCTTTACTGTTAGAATTTTAAATTTATGAACGCCGCTCGCGTCTAATATATTTCCAAGCTTTCCATAAATTTATAAATCTTTATAAACTCGTAAACTTGGCTAATGCAGGTTGAGCTGCGCGCTCATCCATTCGGTTTAGTTAATTAATAATCTCTTAAAATTCTATGAAATATATGTCGGTATGAATTTAGTAAAATTTGTGCGAGTTTGGAAAAATAGTCACCGTACGACATAAATCTACTGTTAGAAGACACTTTGCTGGCACATTGTTATGGCATGTTGGCCACACGCTAGTAAAACTGTTGATACGCACGATACGCGAATAATGGCCATCGATGTCGTCCGCGTCGCCGCGCTCCGCACCGATGGACGGGCCGCGGCCACGAAGCGTATGGATATTGTGTGTACGATGGTAATTTACAATGGGCAATGGCACTAATTAAAATAACAGTATTGGCCGTGCGCGCGCGCGCGCATGTGTGCGCACTCGAGCGGCCCGGCCGCGCTGAAGAAGCGGCCGCCGCGCGAGCCGGTGTCAATAACCAAGAGCAGCGCGCGCCAGCAGGACGGCAGCCCGGCAGCGGGCACCGCACGCAACACGCAGCCAGCGGTCAGTCGAGCAAACGACCGGCGGGCAACCGAGATGGATGCCAGACCGTCAATGCGCAATTACACGTGTTGAATTAGCGTCTGCGTAATTCAATCATTTCGCACTACGCCACACAAAACGACCAATTTACCATATGCATATCATAAACTTTTCAATCAAACAAAAATAAAAATTTCATTTAAAACATTTTTAAACACAGATTTATTTTGAACATAAATACTTGATGCTCAGAAGTTGTCTGGGCCGGTTGTAAGAAGAATTTGTGAGGCACAGTTTGTCGATGGAATGTTGTGTATCTGGGTCATCATGGTTGCAAGTGATGCGCTCATGGTCTTCTTTTTTTCTTCGTTTTGAGAGCCCTCCAAGGGTTTGAAACGAAATAAAAGCATGTAGAATAAATACGCTTATTGATATTCACATCAAGAAGTGCTTCGTGTGACTTCTTGTACTTGTTGTTGGCTGTAAACTACTTGTAAACTACTCCTACGTCAATTACAAGTCTATACGCAGGCGCAACAATACGTGTATGAACTTATGTAAATACACTGACCGGAAAACGCACAATGCATAATAATACTCGACAAGTATAAAGTGTTGTCGATGGTCATTGGAATTCAAAGTGTTTTTACAAGCTGCAAATTGAGAATTTATTTATTCACGTCTAAATGATTGTAGGTATTAGGTACAGTTGCAAAAAGTTGCAGTGGATTTAATTTACAAATAAGATTCAGTTATTTCAGCACTTTTTCCTGAAGTTTTTGTATTTCTAAGCTTGTAAGATGTAATTCAGTTAAAGTGTTTGCATTCCGTGAGATTTCCACGCGTTTTCGCACGCAAATCGTGAACAACAATGAATGAGAAAATGCTTGCAGCTCGTAACACTTCCAAACGTGTCAGAACAAGTGCAACCAAAAGGTAGCCATTAAAAATAATGATATATCATAAAAATCTAGTTTACAACGTTTGCAAAGCTTCACTAACAATTTGCTACATTTTAAGTGTTCTTGTTTTGTTTTTGGTTTGTTAATTTTTACTTTGTTTGCAGGGCAAAACGCAGAAGATGTGGATCAACGTGCGCCGTCACAGGCGTATCAATTTTCAGCAGGTTGCATCTTTCATATGCATATTTTTAACGGTAAGTAAAATTTAATTTTTGACTTTTAGAGGTTTTCACTTGATAAAATTTTATAATTCGGCTATAATATAAAAATGAATCGCAAATTTTGTTTGTACACGCATAACTCAACAACGCTTAGACCAATTTGGCTAATTATTTTTTTTAAATGTTCGTTAAAGTCCAAGGATGGTTTTTATGGCAAGAAAAATTCGAATAATTGCCGGGAAAACCCTGTAAACAGCCCTTTTCTATAAGATAAAAGTTGGTATTGAGATTCAATCATAGTTATAGTTAAATAGTTGAATCCGAGATGGCGCGTTGATGTGTATTATTAGCTATTGGGGATATATTAAATGCACTTTAGTTTAAATACAATCCACTTGAACAGCCGCACTTAAGTTTTCATACTTTGCACTAAGAAATTCATATTATGCACTATAGATTGTATAACTTATATTTTAACACAATGCACTTATATATTCAGGTTTAAGCTTAAATTTGTTTTGAATCAACTTTTTAAATTGAAACTTTATAATTTGTGGTGGTTAGGTAGGCTACCTTGTCTTGTATTATTTGTGGGGCGGTCGGGGGGTTGGGGTGGTGGTTAGGTAGACTACCTTGTTTGGTATTATTTGTGGGGCGGTGGGGGTGGGGAGGGTGATAGAAGGGGCCGGTAAAGAGTACGGCACGTACTTAATACTGCAAGTTTTATAAGACATATAATTTACCGAACTTTATTTTTTCTTTGGGAGATAGATCATTGTTAATACAATTGAATCAAGAGGAAATATATGGCGATGGTACTTTTGATAAAGTGCCTAAAATATTTTATCAACTGTATACGTGGCACGCTAAAGTAAACAATTCTTATCCGCCATGCATATATTTCCTACTGCAGAGGAAGAATGCAAGCACGTATAGGAGGATGTTTGACATTTTGCAGTTTTGCAGTTGACTAATGCATAGTGGCGCGCTCTATTGGCGAATGATTGGTTAAGAATACGGCACGTACTTAGTACTGCCAGTTTTATAAGTGCAAAGTATTAATTTCATAGTGAAAAGCATTTTATTCAAGTGGAATTATTTTTTCAAAGTGCAAATATTTATTTTTAAGTTCAGTTCTGTATTTTTAAGTGCAAGCATTAATTATAAGTGCATTTAATGAATTGACAAGTTAAAAATCGAAAAAATAAAGTTCGTTTAATTACATGCCTTAGCTATTCTTTATATAATCAATTTTTTTAAATAAAATTGCAAATCTTATTGATAGAATTGACACATACTATGTTTAGAACAAGAAAGTAAAAACAAATTACATCTTTATTAAACACTACCAGGACGAATTCGCGGGCAAAAACTAGTTTATTAATAAAAAACGGGTATTTAGGGATTTCATCATCACGCATATTCATCAGCCCTAAAAACCCATATTTTATTGATAAAATTTACTTTGTTATAAATTGCGTATAGGAGTGTAAGCGACGAACCCAGAAAAAAGCATTCAAAACCTTAAAACAAAGAAAAAAATCCAATTCAATGCAAAACGTCGAAGCGCATTTCGCAAACATTGTATGTTGATGCGTCGTCATTGTCATTACGGCGGCGTCTGCGATTTGTACGCGTCTTTTGATCGCGGCACGCGGCGCTCTTCATGTCCATATAAAACGATCGGCCGGTCGCGACAAGCACCGAGGAAGTATTTATGTAACGATCGCTGGCGACCAGCTCGCGACGACAATTTACGAACGAAACTCGCCCGTTAAACAAAAAGCACATTTTCTCTCCTTCATTCACGCAGCAAAAACAATACGCAGAAAAAAATAACCGTAAACTCTTCGAAAGCTCTTCGCAAAGAAAGCTCGTAAAAAACGCACAAAAATCACCCAAAGAAATGATTATAAGCATGTACGAGTACTTCAACGCGCGCAGTGAATGCATATCGAAAGCTCATAAAATATGCCCGCTTGCATCATCGTGGCGGCGCGTGGAAATACGGACCCGCAGGACTCGAGGCGCGTCCTCCGAGTTCGGCATCCCAAAAGCGACGATGCTGTACGCACACCCATTTTCTTAGATTATTAATCAAAACCGGAATCGTTGCCGACGCATCGTGCCGGCGAGTCGATTCGAAAATATCTCGATGCGTGCTTATGTTTTATGCGCTTTTGGCTTTTATTAAAACCCAAACGCGCACGATAATTTTATTGAATTAAATCCCCATGCCATACCAGCATCAGCAGCTTTCGAACGCACTAGTGTAATACACTAGACGCGTGCCTTATAAACTGCTAACGATTTAATCGTTCCGCACTCCTGAACGCAGCTTCGTCGTTTATATCGAATTAAAATTTTAATCGTTTTAATCTGGATGCCAGTCGTTTGCTGATTGAATTAAATTTCGTTTTAATTATCACAGGAGTAGCCTTATAGTGATTAAGGTGCGTGGGTGACTTTTACGAGCTTTAAATTTATTAATTAAACATGTGGAACAAAACAAGAATTAAAGTGTATACACTGCGACACTGAAACACACTTCAAACATTGATTACGTACATATGATTAAGTATACTTACGTAATTAACACAGTGGCTCATTATGCTGCCGCCGCGCAGTCTAGCCGCACCGCCGCACACATCCTGTCAGTGATCGCGAGCTCGCGCACACACCGCGCCCGCCATGTACGTGCACGTGTACAGTTATCCTGGCGCGGAATGTGTGCGCGCCCGCGTTTTGTCGGGCCGGTGCTGTTGTTTGCTCCACAATAAACAAGAACGTGGCGTCGCGAGTTAAAGGTTATCTGCGCGCTGCTCGCCGCTTGCCTTTCGATCGTAACTCGTTGGTAAAGTGCTGAGCCAGCGGCGGTCTCGGCGCGCACTCGTGTAAGAAGCGCATAAGCAAATCACTCCAATTATATGATCCTTCTTTGAGGCGCGGTGTTGTTCCATTCAGTTCACTGGTTGATCATTCAGATTCATTCACGTCATTGTGATACATATAGTATTTTTATACATTGTGTTTGGTTTATGGTAAGTTATATATTTTCAGTCTGTAGGCAACCACACATACTTGACATTGATCTTTAAAATAACTGTTCGGGCCTAAAATAAACTTTATCTATACACTAATAAACTAATTGTAGTTTTTACTTTCTTGTTAAACAATTAATTTGTGCCGATTTCGTAGGAATTCCAATTTTATTGCAGAAAAATGAAAATGCACACAATGTACGTTAGCGCCATCTGAGATTTAATTGATAAACTATAACTATGATTGAATCTTCCAGCCCATCTTGAGTTATAAATGCGGCAACTAACACAACATTGTTTTAATATACATTTTAAACATTTTTGTACCTTTAAAAATTAAATATCTGTTGGTTTTTTTAATAGGGTGCCGCTCCAAACACTTCATAAATTTAATGACTTGATTTGTCTTGTTAGCTTCGTTTTATGAATTTAATTTCGGACCGATTTCGTTTTATTTCGTCTTAAATTTCGAGCATTAAACACACGTTTGTTTTTATGAATCAACGCTCCAGCATCGTATTGCAGTCCATAAAAATCCACCGAAATTTATGATCACTTTAATCCTGACACCTGTTTTTTGCTGCACCTCATAATAAATCTTCTGCCACACGAATGCAAAACAAAACAACGAAGCGTGTCGTGTAGCGACAGCCGGACGTTCGCAGAGCTGACGTAAATCTCGGCCAACAAGTAAACAATAATATAAACGTAGACAGTAATATAATAATAGCCAGCGTGTTGAAACGGTAAAAATGAGACATAAACTTTACGACACGCAAGCTAATTTCCCATGCGGAGTGGAAGACTCTCAGCGGCGGCGCAGTCTACTCAACTAACTTACTGTGTGTTAAATGCGTCTAATGTGCGTTTGTGATTGTGAATAATGGTTTTCAATTTACGTTCGTCGGCTTCCCACATTCATCAAAACTAATTGTGGCCAAAACGCGACGATTTACGATTCTATCTGTGGAGTAAATTATATTAAGTAGGGTTGCCAGATTTTTAGAAATATTTCAAGTTTTTTTGCAAATTTCATTCAAGTAAATAGATCTTGATTCCATTCATTAAATTACAAACGTTCATTCCTTATTTTACATCCTTCAAGGTTGAATTTCACTACCAAACTTTACATTATGCTGAAAGTTGCCTGAAAATTCCAATAAAATCAATAATCGGTTGAATTTGGCGTTTTGTAGTCAATTAAACAACAAATTTGTAATCTATAATATAAAAATGGATCGGAAAATCTGTTGGAAAGCGCATAACTCAACAACGCCTAGACCAATTTGGACAATTCTTTTTTTTAAATGTTCGTTTAAGTCCAAGGATGGTTTTTATGGCGAGAAAAATTCAAATAACAGCCGGGAAAAACCTAAAGACAGCCCTTTTCAATAAGATAACAGTTGGCATTGAAATTCAATCATAGTTATAGTTAAATAGTTGAATCCGAGATGGCGCGCTGAGGTGCATTATTAGCAATTCTTTATATAATTAATTTCTTTAAAATAAAATTGCGAATCTTATTGATAGAATTGACACATACTATGCCTAGAACAAGAGAGTAAAAATGAATTACATTTTTATTAAACACTACCAGAACAAAGTTACGGGTTAAAGCTAGTATTTCATACATTTATTAAAGAAAAATAAAGAAATCGAATCTGGTAACCCTATTATATAAGTTATATCATATTTATACGTTAATTAACATACATTATACGAGTGTGGGCAAAGTTAACAGTCGTACAATACAAACGTCGACATTAAATACATTAAACTATGATTAGAATTAGAACAAGAGCACAAAGCACACTTATTGGGTGGCGGCGAAGATAAACACAAACCGATTGCGTATAAACATTTTTACGATGAAGAGATCTCGACTAGTTGTACTGTGTGTGGTTGTCATGTTACGCCCAAAGTCCTCCGCCAACATTTTTTAATGATCTATTTCTTTCGCCTCGAACGCTCGTCGCATCGCGCGTTGAATTGAATTGAATTGAATCGCACACAAGACCGAGATTGATAACATAATAAACTCGCCGGCGATGTCGTAATTCAATGCTCAAATTAAATGAAGAATTCAATTTATCAACGCGCCGCGATGGATCGACGAGCGGGAACAAGAGCCACGGCATGTTACTTGTATTTGCTAGCATACGCTTTCGGGGAGATAATCGGTGGAAAAACAGCACACACCAGAGCAGCAAGCAACTAAGTAGTTTATGGTGTGCTTGTAGACGAGTTTATCAAGATGTGATGCTTTGTTGTGTTTTGTTGTTTGCTGCTTAACGTTTAGTGAATCGGATCAGGCGAGTGCTGTGTGCCTGACGAGGAAATTAAGCCGGATCAGATTACGTGCATGTTGTTTGCGTTTTATTGATTAGTATCGAACACATTAACTTTATAATGAATAAATAACTCTCATAAGACTTAAATTGGCAGCGGATTAATCCAAACTAATACTATAAATGTGAGATTTACTTTATTTATTTATATGTGACGCTTTCAAGCAAAAACCGTTGAACTAATTTTAATAAATTTTGGTTTAGAAATAGTTTTTACCAAAGAAAATAACATAGGGTATTTTTTATAACAAATAGCTGAAAGGGTGTATGTAAAATAAGGATTAAAAGTTGATTTTTAGATAAAATTGATGTAATTTCGATCAAAATGGCTTTTGTCCCGGTAGTGTTTAATAAAAATGTAATTCGGTTTTACTCTTTTGTTCAAGACATAGTATGTGGCAATTCTATCAATGAGATTTGCTATTTTATTTTAAAGAAATTAATTATATAAAGTATTGCTAATAATGCACTTCAGCGCACCATCTCGTATTCAACTATTTAACTATAACTATGATTGAATCTCAATGCCAACTTTTATCTTATTGAAAAGGGCTGTCATTAGGGTTTTCCCGGCAATTATTCGAATTTTTCTCGCCGTAAAAACCATCCTTGGACTTTAACAAACATTTAAAAAAAAGAATCGGCCAAATTGGTTTTGTCGTTATTGAGTTATGCGCACACTAACAGATTTTGCGATTCATTTTTATATTATAGATTGATTTTGCAAATTATAGGTACAAGAAAATGAATAGTTATGGTAGTTTTTATTCAAATTTACGCGTATAAAGTCGCGGATCAAAGCAAAACTCACTATTTTTGCTCTGTATTTTTTTAAAACTTTGGTACATTTACATTAGTCAACAATTAACACATCAAACAATACAAATATTTCACCTACTTTACCAGACGTGCAAATTCTCAACAAATTCCAGCATAGCGTCCTAAATTACTTCCTTGATGACCCGACTTGCCAGCCTGCCAGCCGTTTAACAAGTCTAACAGTTCCATTACACACTTCCATGATTTGCGGAACAATCCGAACGGGTGTACGTCATTCTCGTGCCGACGCCGGCGTGAAACTATGCAAAACACTTCAGCGAGAGAAGAAAAAAATCACGCGTGGGAAAATCGGCAGGTCGGCCTTTCGCTTCGGTCGATACAATGTCGGTCTTGATCGTTTGTTCATGATGTTCGGATATGTTTTCCGCTTGCGTACGTGTGTATCGTGTGTGTCATTACACCGCTGTTACATATCGCATCGCGTCGATAAAACATTAGAATACGCTCATAAGACGTTTCAATATGCGAATTGGAATGAGATTCGTATGCGATTTATGTGATTGTTGTGTTTACGAGTGTTGTTTGGGCTTTCAAAGGAGGTAATGCCGCCGCGATAGGAAAAGAGGGCGCTGGTTGCTTTGTAAATATTTAGGATGAGCGGTATATTTTCGATCATTCGAAGATTTTATCGTTATTTATTTGCATACACATAAATACAAACAGTTGTACTGCTTTTTGTTTTACATTAATTACATTGTGATGAGTCGGCACTATAGTTGTCACTTGTACTTAAATTGTTACGACTTCCAAGAGATATTAAGAGAGATAAAAGGTCGCAAACTGAAAAATAATCAAACTTTATAGTTTTCTAACTTTTGCCCGCGACTTTGTCACAGTGGTGTTTAATAAAAATGTAATTCCTTTTTACTCTTTTGTTCTAGACATAGTATATGTCAATTTTATCCATAAGATTGGCAATTTTATTTTAAAGAAATTAATTATATAAGGAACTTCTAATAATGCACTTCAGCGTGCCATCTCGGATTCAACTATTTAACTATATCTATGATTGAAACTCAATGCCAACTTTTATCCTATAGAAAAGGCCTGTCTTTAGGGTTTTCCCAGAAATTATTCTAATTTTTCTCGGCGTAAAAACCATGCTTGGACTTTAACAAACATTTAAAAAAGAATTGGCCCAATTGGTCTAGGTGTTGTTGAGTTATACGCTTACCAACAGATTTTTGCTTCAATTGTACTCATTTTGGTTTATTGGTGTTTAAAAGGAACGTCACACACGAATAGCCTGCTTTTATCAACTAAAAAGATAATTTTGGAATTGCATTTATAAGCTATTCACTATATATATTTCACTTTTAAAGTAGTTTCATTTGAAGCAAGCCAATTGTCGTTGCCTATTGGGATATGAAAATAACGTCGTGCGCGCAAATTCATAAATTGCATTTTTTTGGCGATTAAAATATCATCATCCCATGGTATATCATAAAATGTTGCATCCTGTATTTTCTCACTCTGTAAAAATATAATCATTACTTAAGTTATAACGATTTTAATTGAATTATTTACAATATTTTCCAATTTTGAGGATACGAAACATCCAGCTACACCCACCATACTATACATGCACATCAAAGCCAACATTACAGCTTGAAACTCCTAAAATATGCCAATTAATAAAAAATTCAATTATTATTTAATACTTGCATTTATCAAAGATATTAATATCAGTCCCCAAGTTGCCGTACCCACCAGAACAATGAAAAATATTGGAATTTTAACCAATTGAGAGAAACGTTTCCAATTTCTAAAAACATTTTTTTATTAGAAATTCAATTACTAGAATTTTTTATAATACGAGGTGCTAAATACATGATGATCTACAATCGTCGCAAAACTTTCATGACGCATTTTAATGTTTTTTTCATCTTTCAACTTTCCTAGATTGCTTAATATCATTTTACAGTTAAGTTCGGCATATATCACCAATGTGGTATAAATGCCAGACATGCACCAGATTACCATGCTGAAGTAACACACTTCAATTTGGAATATAACATTACAAATCAGTATTATATGTTTGTCCAAATTTATAAAATAGTACTAAAAATAATTAGAGATAGAAAAAAAACTAAAATAATATTTATTCTCGTACATATGGAAAGAAAACCGTGTCCTCATAATATGTGGAAATTGGTAATGTAACAATGTACAACATCCAAAAAGTCAAGACTAGAGATATTCCAACAAATACAAGTCGATTTATCGGCTCTAGAGTTTTTCTAAGGGCGATATCAGTTACTTTAACAAACTGTGATTTTGAGACGATATCAAGTAATACAAGACCCTCATTTTTACGGCGTTTTAACAGTGTTCCAGTAACGAGTCCAAGGGTAAAAAATAAGATGACTGTTAAAGGCATTAAATATTCGTTGAAGTTTCTTCCTTCCATTACTATTATGTGTCAGAAATATAAATATAATAAATCAGTCGGTATAAAATGCAACATTTTGTATCATACCTATTATTTGATAGAGATATCCACACATTCCAATCGACATTATAATTGGGAGAGGATAATGTAATATATTTAACACAAATACGAAGCGTTTGTCATCAGACCAGAAAAAATGGCGAAGTATGGCGATGGAAATGGCAAAATCTTCCATGCGCATATTTTTGTTATTAATGTGAACTTTGTCAGTGTTTAAATATTTTTTAATGTGCTCCATTGTGAAGTTCAATATAGTTTGATATTTGATATTGGAATGAAATTGTTACCACTCTTAGTGGTATAGATATATCGTTTTTGTGCCCTGACCAAGGTGAGTAAATACGATGATGATATGAAAATTACAAAACACACATTACTTATATATTATTCATACATGAAAAACGTATGTGTCGCTAATAATTTATATTCGGAAATTAAAAAATGCTTAATAAAATATCATCAACTCAGTTTTTTTTTTATTTCTTGAAAATAATTTAATTTACATCAGTTAAACATCATTCAAATGTATCAATAATTATTTTAATTTAAATCTGCTTTTCTCATTCTTAAAAATAATGTTAAAATTGTATAACTCATCTTAACCATCTAAAAATATACTTAAAAAGGAGTTAAAATTGAATGAATTTTTGTACGGCTGTTTTACCTTCAAAATATATTCATTTGAAACCACTGCACTATCCCCGATGGGAATTTCAAAATAAATCCTGGTACGCATATTCATAAACTGCATTTTCTTAGCAAGAGCCACGTCACCGTCCCATGGAATCGCGTAGAAAGTTGCATTATGCAATTTAGCACTCTGCAAAAACTCTATTACAATATAAAATAACATTTGATTTATTACACGTACAATATCTTCCAGTTTTGATGATACCACACAACCTGCAGTAGTCATTGCAATAAATACTATCGTAGTAGCAAACAATAAAACTTGAAAATCCTAAAATCAACCATAAATTTATAAAAAATATTTATTTTTTCTTGTAAACTTACGATTACTATTGTAATTGCCAATAATCCAAATGTTCCTGTTCCGATAAATACTATAGCAAATAGTGGTCCTTTACTTAAGTCACATAAACTCTTCCAAAATCTAAAATTGATTAAAAAGAAGAACTTCTACTATAAAGCAAAATAATTGACATACAAGCAAATATGCAAATGATGTTTAACGATAAGCGAAAAACATTTATGACGTTCAGTTAGGTCTTCTTCATTTTGCAATCGTTCTAATGACCCCAGTATTGTATCGCAGTTAAATTCAAAATATGCGGTCAATGAGATATACAATGCTATAAAACACCAAATCATCATACAGAAGAAACACATTTCGATGTGGAATAAAATATTTAGGATGATGTTATAGTTTCCCAAATTTAAAAAGTAATACTAAAATAATTATCATTACTTATTTATAACAACGTATTACTACTCAAATACAAAAGGGAAAAAGTATGACTCCTTAAAAAATCCAATCAACGGTAGAGTCAAAATTTCCAACAACCAAAACACAGCAACAAGCAGCATCACAGAGATAATTATTTGATTTATCGGCAAAATAATCTCCCTTAACGTGATATTATGATCATTGGTAAATTCTGACATGTTGATTATGTCGAGTAAATTTTGACCAGCCTTTTTTCGACGTTTCAAACATATTGCTGTGAATGCACCAAGTAACATTATAAGCGCAAATGTTAAGTGGGCTACATATTCGCTGAATGTTGTGTCTTCAATTACTAAAACAAAGGAAACAAAATAAAATGATAATTACCAGTATTAAATCTAAACTTACGTATTAATTTATAGAGATGTCCTGACATGCCAACCAACATTATAATTGGCAGCGGGTAGTACATTAGGAATAAAACAGGCGCAAAACGTTTGTTATCCGACCAGAAAATGTGACGTAATATTGCAAACCCGACTGCAATCTCTTCGATTTGCAAATGTTGATTTGTTTTGATAGCATCAGCACGAATGTAGTTTTCTATACATTCCATCATAGTGACTATCACTGAACTAATGAAATAGTTACAATTTTACTTCTACATTGATTTTTGTATTATAGGGATAAATTAATAGTTAATGACGAGCATTAGAGTAAACATTGTGAGAGTTATTAATACTTTCTTTTGTACGTAATAAGTGAGATGTTTTATTTATCACATAATGTCCAATATGTTGATTACATAGACACTTTTATAGAATATTAAGGATCAAGGGGCTAAACGCAGACTTTTCTCACGAGATTGATTGAGAAGGAGCGTAGCAAGCGTTTAATCAATCGAGTGTTTAATAACTTTTCTATTTCCACTTTATTTCCACGTTTTTGTATTTTATATCTTTGATAGTTTTGTGCTGCACCGTAGGCTATTGCGCAGGCGCAAGCACCCTGTGACTAAAGCCCGTGGCTAAAGTACTTTAGTCACAGCTTTGGTCGTCCATAATTAAAGTACTACCACTTTCTGTGTCTAAAAACGGTGGAAAAACTGACGTTTTAAAGGTGAAAGTTGAATAAATATTTTAATATAGATGGCGTTGTATTCGCTTAATTCAAAATACCATTGATGTTATTTCCGTGAAAAGATTATTTCTAACCTCCAACGACTTTATTTGTTCAAAGTGTGAACAACTCCTACACGACCGACACTCTTGTATACGACTTGGTGCTGAAGACGATGGCCGATTGCGCACAGTAGGCGGTCGTTGCGCATTGTCTACGCATAGCAATTTGAACTTTAACTTTGCTCTTAACTCAACTATAACCAAACAATTTCTAACAATAGGTTTACACGGGGATATGTTACTTAATTTATAGGTTAGATAGTTTTGCATCTAGTACAATGCTTCATAAAGTATAGTATCGTATTCGTGCATTAGAAGGTTATTAATGGCATGACGAATATATTATTAAAATATTATATTTTAAAGTAATAAATCTATCAAATTAAGGAATCCGATGTTGGAAACCGATTGAATGCTCATCAATATTTCATATCTTAATACATTATTGCTTAACTTAAGTCAACTTAAATCAACTCGAGTTAAATCAACGATAAGCTCGAAAGCGTTTCATTAAAACAAACTCCAAGCGAGAGAATGAAAAAATAAATTTCACGTAATTTATGACCAGGATGTAATCTACGGTTACTGATTAAAAATTCATGTCCATTCAATGGTCGCCCCAGTCGCGATTGCCATCATCGTGACACGCAAACATATCGGCACTCACAAAACCGCCAAGAAGTCACAATGATCAAGTTTGCATCACAGATTGTGACATTAATATGTCCATGGTTTTTTTCAATTCATTTGAATAAAAATTACGTTTTTTGATTGAAACATCGCAGGTTTGTGGGAATTGTCGATCATTTTCGAACAAAGATTGATGAAGAACCGCCAGGTTTAGTAAAAGGTTAATAGAAACGTTGGCGCGGTGTAATATGATAATACAATCGGACAGATCAAAAGTTAATTAAGGTGCAAATGATATGCAGCGCCGCATTGGACCTCGGAGACGGGCTGGAGCTGAACAATAAGTGTTTTATCAAATAAGTGTCTGATACGTGCACGATAATATGGAGATTGGTGTCGTAAACGTTAAATTGGCAAATGTAATTGGTTTCTTTCGGATTGTTTGTAGGTTATTTGTTTGTAGACACATTATTTAAGGTTTGTCACAGCGGGATGAATTTCATTTGAATAAATTATGAAAATAAATAAATTTTATCAGTAATTGGCAGATCTGGATGATAGAAACTTTAACTGTAGTAAGTCAATCAAAAACCAACGGATTGTATTGTAAGATAGCTTATATTCCGCCATTTTAATAGCTCTTGAAATCAGATGAAACTTATGACTAAAATTGGATTGGATTTAATGAGAAATAATTTGTAATGCATGAGTGTACAGATGAAATTGCAAGGTGTGTTCATCACTAATTAGATTTTTAGCATGACGAACTATTTTAATGTCATAATTGTTGGCGTAATTAAACGCTGTGCGGTTTACCATTATAACATGGTTCAATGCACATCATGAATGCAAGCACTTACCGGTAACTTAAGCCTTAAATACGCGTTGGTGAAAACGTGTTTATGATACTTGTCAAAAAGTTCTCGTTATGGATATGGATAGAGATGAGGTGGAGCAAACATGAGTATGCGAAAATATCAATGAGGAATTACTGTTGAAAGGCGCACGCCGAGTGCAATGCAATTTGCCGAACAAACTTATTGGATGATCGTACCTATAACTTCATTACCTCATTGTGAAGGAGATTAATAAATAAGTTATTTATCCGCAGCGAGCAGCCGATGTAATTAACTTTGCTTGGTCGGTGAACTTGCAAATTTGCAAACTAGGAGAGGCTAACTGCGAGCAATTAATCATTGTGGGATGCTTTTTTCTTCTCTGGCACCATGAAATGATTGAGAAGAGAAAAACAGTGGTAATTCTAAGATAAATACGTGCTACTTCAGATTAGTCATGACTTTATCTACACATTTATCGATTATCTGTTGAAAAAATGTTCAAAACGCAAACAATTCGGAAGGTTATAATTGAATTAACGGCTACTTTCCGTTATATTTGTAGTTGGGTGACAAACTGACTGACAAAATTACGATGATGTTTGTACAATGAACAAAACGTAAAATTTCGTGGAAAAAGTTGTGAAATTTAACATTTTAAGAACTTACCGATAATTGTTCTCAAAATAGAATTAGTAAATGTCAATAAGAAGAAAAATGCATTGAAATTATGGCATCTACAGTCATAAACCAATTTTTTTACAAATTTGCAGGAATGAAATTTATCCATACCAGGAAGCTTAAAGAATTCCTCAACATTGTCTTGTATTAAAACCGCTGGGATTTATATGGTACTCCTTCATTTGGAGTAGTTTATTACCAATTTCTAACACAGCACACCTTTGGTGTTCATTGACAAACAAATGAACGTCGGGAAGTTTGGTTAATGGTCAAATGAAACCCACTTTGCACTTCGGATGCACCGCGCGACGATATGGGCATTATATAGCTATATAATTGTGAAATCTTTCACATTCTCGAGGTTACCGTTAGACATGTTAGTCGCGTCCGTCGCGCCTGTTGTTTGCTCATTTGACCGATGACCCGTCGAGCGCCCATTTTGTCCTCGTCGCCCTCTAAATGTCCCGAAAAGCCACCGGCAAAGATTTCATTAATTTCCTCCTCGAGAACCAACCTAACAGTATAATGTCCTAACAATACTATCTAGAATATTAGAAATAAATTCTACTGAATTCTACTGGCGTCTATGTGACCGTTCTAGGGTTAATAGGAATTTATTAAACTAAACATCCACGCATAGAAGAGGCGCGTGAAGCTCTCCGATGACGGTCGCCGGTCAAACACTGAGGAGAACGCTACGGGCATCGCGACTTGAAAAACGTAAATATAATTTATGTGCGCTTTTAAATTCTCACGTGGAGCCGCGTCCACTTTACTTTATGTGAACGTTACGACGCGCTGCGAGGAAAATGCGTGTATTAGGCGGACGCGGACGTGCGCCGCGAGAGAACGTAATGAACATGTAATTTACGGTCGTTGTCATTTTGTCAAAAAGTTTAATGTGCACGCTCGGACTCGGCTAATTTGAGAATATTAAATGCGATGCGTGAGACACTTCATGGGAGCCCGAGCGTGCGCGCTGTGCATGAATAGGCGAATTCGTTTGTTAAAAAATGTCCAATTCTTGGGCCAAAAAATTGCTCATTGCGAGTTTACTCTCGACGTGGAGGAGTGTTCAACTCGACGGATGGGTAACGTGTAATTTAAAGAGCATTAATGATGCTCTATTTTATTATAACATCACGAACTACCTTCTTTTCTAATTAAACAAATAAACCATTTAAAAAAGTTGGAACTTTTATTTACACACCAGAATATAGCAAAAAGGTAAATTTTATTTGTAACTAGCTTTTACCTGCGACTTCGTCCCGGTAGTGGTTAATAAAAATGTAATTCATTTTTACTTTCTTGTTCTAGACATAGTACGTGTCAACTCTATCAATAAGATTCGCAATTTTATTTTAAAGAAATTATGCATATAAAGAACTAGCTTTAACCCTTGGCTTCGCTCGCGAATATCTAAAATAATGAAGTTGCTTCCGTACGCGTCTGTAGTCACAGGAGAAGTAACAATGAAGTAGAATGGCGGGAAGTTTAAAATGGCTGAAAGTATAGTCTATGGAAGTATCGTGTACAGTCTTCATAGTGTAGTCAATTGGATTTGATGTTGACGTAGCTGTCGGTAATACAGTGTGATGATACAGTGTGATGGTACTATAGTACTTAGGTTTGAGCTTCATTGCTGGAATGCTAGATGGCGTTAAAGTAGTCAAATAGCCAGATGCAGAGGTATTATTGGCTAAACAATTTTTTTATTTTATTTTAAATATAATTTTTTTTATTAAATAAAAAGTAGCCTATAACCATTCGGGGACCACTAAGAATATGTGTACAAATTTTCATGATGATCGGTTAAGTAGTTTTTGCGTGAAAGTGTAACAAACATCAGGACTTTCGCATTTATAATATTAGTAGGGATTGCAAATAATGCACTTCAGCGCGCCATCTCGGATTCAACTATTTAACTATAACTATGATTGAATTTCAATGCCATCTTTTATCCTATAAAAAGGGCTATCTTTAGGGTTTTCCCGGCCATTATTCGATTATTTTTGCTGTAAAAACCATCCTTGGACTTTAACGAACATTTCAAAAAATGGCCAAATTGGCCTAGGCGTTGTTGAGTTATGCGCTTATCAACAGAGTTTGCGATTTATTTTTTTATTGTAGGTACAAAAATAAAGTTTTTCCTTCATTTTTGTGTTTATTTTGACTTTGAAAATTTAAACTTTGATATTTTGTTCCATTAAGAATCACCACAATTGATGAACTTTATTGACAAACTTCATCTAGTTATAACATCAAATTTGGACTCGGAGGTAAAAAAAAAGCGCGCTCCCAAGCAAGGCCAATGTCCATGGGCCAGTGGCCTCTCTGTCGCGTAGTTTGCGCGGCTTGTTCAATGACAGGCACATGTCGAATTATTAATTTCTCGTACACGCTCATATGCACACGCCGACCGACCACGATCGAAGGAGCAAAGAGCAAAAACGAAACACGCTCGTATTCGTAATCGAACGTGCGCGGATCGCACACTCTTTTATTATTAATAATAATAACAACGCGGCGAGCGGCGCGCGAGACTGCTTGGCGGCTTTGTGTGCACGAATCATTGAATCATTAAGTTTTTGAGGCTGCGCTCGTAAATCTCGTTCTCTTAAATGTTAGATTTAATGAAATGTGAGCTTAAGTAGAGATTACCCGGAGTGGATTTCAATTAAACTTTTGAACTTGAAAATTGCCACATTTATTACAGATTTGATCATCAACTAACATACTATCCCAACAAATAAAAGTTAAACGTGAATTTAAAAATTCTTATTTATTTATTAAATTACCAATTCTGTAAATTTTAAAATTTGATTTGGTTTCTCATTGCAGATATTAAATATAAACTTGGTGTACGCGGAAATATGGCCGATGGAGCGACCAACCGGCATGCCGTCAATTCAATCCCTAGAGGTAATGTGCGGTAAGGATCACATGGACGTCCACGTGTCGTTTTCGCAGCCCTTCGACGGTATTGTAAGCTCGAAGGGACAACATGGCGACCCGCGTTGTGTGTACGTACCGCCTTCAACAGGACAAACGTTTTTCTCGTTCCGCATCGCGTACGCGCGCTGCGGCACTAAACCCGACCTAAACGGCCAATTCTATGAAAACACCGTCGTCGTGCAGTACGACAAGGACCTGCTCGAGGTGTGGGACGAAGCGAAACGTCTCCGCTGTGAGTGGTTCAACGACTACGAGAAGACTGCCACCAAGCCGCCGATGGTCATCGCCGATCTGGACGTCATTCAGTTGGATTTCAGAGGTAAACTGCAACTAAGTGATATTTTATAGGTTGTTGCTCATTGTTTGTTGGTTGATAGGAGACAATGTTGATTGCTGGATGGAGATCCAACACGGCAAGGGCCCGTGGGCACCACCAGTGAGCGGAATCGTGCCGCTTGGTTCGACGTTGACGCTCGTCGTTGCCATCAACGATTACAGAGGTAACACGCTATCATTTATTAATTTTTACTACTTCCAGGCATTGTGATTAGTTTACGTTATAAGATATAACAAATATGCTTGGTTTATCCACGTAGGTGAATTTGACATGCGGGTGAAGTCCTGCGTAGCATCTGATGGCGGTGGCCACGTCATTCAACTCTCTGATGAATCTGGATGCGTTTTGCGACCGAAAATGATCAGCCGCTTCCTCAAGGCGAAGGGCGCCGACGAGCGCGCGTCTGTCATAACCTACGCCTTCTTCCACGCCTTCAAATTCCCAGACGCGCTAAGTGTGCATATTAAATGCAAGGTGGAAATCTGTCGTCATGGTTGTCTGGATCACTGCCAACAGCAACCAGAAAGCAATTCACACGTTGAAGTAGAACACCAATACGGTGGTATTCCATTAGAGAGAAAAGACGATGGAATATTATCCACATCTGCGAAGAAAGCTTCTTTGGTTGGTACGCAACCTGCCGCAAGTGCCCAATCCTCCGAATTACACGACGATATTATCTATGATGATATTATACAAGAAGGTGAAGGCGGTACCAGCATTGGAAGTGGAATGCCTTCAATTAAGATGAGTTTGAGTAGTCACAAAACCGACGAGGAATCCAAAACACCACCACCACCAGTAATGGTTCAGGAAGAAACTGAGAGTCCAGTAAATGTTGCAACTGTAGACAATCTTGGTATTCAAACAGCCAGTTTGGAAGAACTTGCGGCAAACCTCGCAAATATTGCCAATGTAGTAAATTCTGGAAATGGTGACGTACCTGAAGATTTAGACATTGGTTCACCATTACCCCACAAAGTAAGTTTTAAAATAAAGCATTATAAAGTGATTAAACATTGTATAATGTAATTTGTTTAAGGATGCGTATACTATGGAACAAGATAAATTCCCGCATGGGCCTCGTCACTTTGATCATGAAGAAGTAATGCCCTTAGGTGCTCCACGTTCGCTGCCCGACAACGTCCCAATAATAAACAGTCGCGAAAAACGCAATGCTTCATCTCAACCCATGTTGACTCTCACAAAACGCAAGCGTCGATCAATGGTTGTATCCGACAGAAAAGTGCGCAGTGCCGATGTTGGTGTCTCGGGTCTGTACGAAGTTATTTCCGAGGCAGACTTGGCTTTCAGTCCTGACAACAAAGCAGAAGCTGTCACCGTCTTCCAGGGCAAGATCCGCGAAGAAGTGGTTTACGGCATCTGTATGCCTGTTCCTGGCTTCAGTGTTCTTTTTGTGCTGGTAGCTGTGTCCGCAGTGGTTTCTGCTCTTGTGGCGGGCAGTTTACTCTATCGCTACCAATTGCAGCGAGAGCACATGGTCGCCCAAGCCCATGACGGTGCAATGGCAATGAGTACGCTGGCATATTGGATGGGTTTGGGCTTCCTGCGTACTCGCGACCCACCAACATGTGGCGCACATGAAACCAGCGCCGCAGCTGCTGCCGCCGCCGCTACAGAAAGGCTGAACAACACGCTCAACAGCTTAAGCATGAGCAGTCTGAACAACTTGAGCAGCATGGGCGCCATGAGTCTCAACGGAAAGACTGATACTCTGCGTTCGCGTGAATGAACAAGTTGTCAAGTTGATGACTAAAGCTAATTGAATTAACATTTAACCAGAACGTTGTATAGACTTTAAATGACTTCATGAAGTGCAACTGCGTTAATATTCGTTTTAAGTTAAAAGGGCGTAAATGCAATAAAACTTAGCGACTAATAGAAAACTACAATAATTAACACCCCAAATAATAAAGTTTTATACTGAAATACATCTAACTAAGGAAACTAATTTAAATCAACGACGCATAGAGAATAATTTAATTGTATATACTTAAAAGTAATTATCAGACGCACAAGTTCAGAAAATATTTATGAAATATTCACCGAGATGGGCAAGCTTCAATTCAACGCCAAATATGAATGGCAAAACTATGTTGTTATTAATAAGTATGCCCTCTGGTAATTAGATTTAGCACATATAGATATAAATCACTTAAGAGTATATCGAGTCCTAATTGCGTATAGGAATGGCCAAGCACAGAGTACTTGTGCCATAACTACCCTAAAACCTACACACTAACGAACGTTATGTTCTTTTAATAACAGTTTAGACTAGAGTTAATTATTTATCAGTGTTCCAAAGGAAAAGCAACCGTTTCCATCTGAAGAAGCAAAGTTTTTGAACATGTTTATTATTTTATTGAAACGTAGGCAATATATGATATTTACTGGCGCCATATTGTAATGACGACGTCACAATCACACCTGTTAAGAACTCAAAACATATGTTACTTAATTATTTGTTGGAATATTGAAAAGAAAACACGCTTTTAATAATCGTAACGGTTTAGTATTACACACTATGATTAGACTTATTTATTTTTCGCATATTTCCGTAGGTAAGTTCAGAAGCAAGTCGCTACGAAAGTGTCTGATTTAATTATGTACAGTATTATTCCAAAACGTAATTAATTTATTGTATACAATGTTTCGAATGTGTAACGTATAGTTATCTCTAATACCAACTAAGATTTATAATAATTTTGCTCAAATGTCTTTACGCATTTCATTGAAATGATGACGCAAGTTCAACGAATGAAATATTAAGATAGGCAAAGTGTAACTTTTCGTAACGATATATATTTATATATTTTTGCACGCGTGCGTCTTTTAAGTGGCGACATTATGAGCTACATGGTGCTAATGTCAATCGCAACAGAAGTTGCGTGTGTTGGGCATTAAAATCAACAAAATATCACATTATTTCACCGAAAATATGCATGTTTATAAACGGCTCCTTGTGTCGCCACGAATAGCAGGCGTGTTTGTTAAACGTTTTGTTAAATGTCACATTTATTTTTTAAATTTTATTTGCCGATAAGTTTTGTATTTCGTACGTTAGAAGTTTATGGTCGAAGATCCGCTTCACGTTCGGACTAAACACATATTTCAGACAATTGTTTACGAGAACAAGTGGATGTGGAAGAGGTATGCATATTTTGTGCGAAATGAGTGTAAACAGATCGTCAGAAACTTAATTTAGATATGCGCAGTATTGCAACATGCGGCATTTAACGTATTTACACTATCCAATTAAATTAGGGCGCAATCAACATGAGAATAAGATGCATAATTGTGAGGCTAATTGTATGTATGTTTTGTTGTAAATAAAATGTGGGTAACGAAACATAAATCAAGATTAGTCAAAAACTCCTCATTTTCTTTCTATAATAACAAACGTAATTTGCGTTTATTTATGCTTCTGTGGTAGTTGAAGAGGTTGGTTCTCTATACATTTTAAAATGTGTTATGAAAAACAAAACAAATTTTCCAATACAGTGAGTATTTTATTCCCATTGGGTGCAAACTATGTTACTGTAATAGAAAAGTCTTTTATGCATAATTATTTATGTTATAATATGTTTCTAATTGTTATTTAATGAAGACAATCTTTAGTTTACACGCAAACAAAGAATATGAAATAATTAAATAATTTAGTAGTCAGCTATTATAAATGCCTTGCTTATGAACAAATTTACAGTCACCTCAAATTTCTACCTAGAAGAGTTTATATAAGCCATAGTGAAAAAAAATTGATTTCCACGATGCTCATATCTAGAACAAATTTTCATAACTATATGGCAGCTGAAAAGTACTTTTGGGTTACCAATAATGCGTTCAAATCTGCTTTAATTTTTTGGTCATCTACCTGCCTCATTCTGATTACAACTTTTGGTAATTTAAACTATTTATTTCTTTCTTATCGTAAGTAAATTGAAATACAAATATGTATTTTTTAACTAAATTAATTGATATTATCTAAGGTTCAGGACTAGAGTTTTCAGATATTACTCTAAATTTGTCATGGCTTATTACAATAACATTTGGTATAATAGTTATATATTCTCTAAAATCAGCAGCTAAACGTGGACAGGCTGTCTGGGATTTAATGGAACTACGGGTTTTCGTACATTTGCCTTCAAAATTATCATATATTCTTAATACTTCCAATTCATTCTATAACTTTTTCATTAGAATCGGTTTTTTGATTTTTGTTACTGCACTTATAACCAGGGAAGTAGAATATTGTGGAGAATATTCTTAAAGAAATATTTGCGGAATTTTATATCCTAGTGTATTAATGCTCAATATTTTAGTATACAAGGTTCACGGAATTAACAAAAATATAATTGCAGAATTTTTTCGTTGATTTAAGTCAACGGCCCTATCGAGAATTCTACAATTTGCTAATATTTGTGGTTTATTGGTATTTCTACGTTGCGTTAGTAACATGCTGCAGTTTCCTATATTCCTTAATTATACTCACACAAGTTAGTGTAAAAGAGTTCAAAGAAATTTTAAAACAAAGTAGTCAAACCAACAATAAAGCGATTCGACTACAGAAACTAAAAAAAGCATTCAAATTGCAATTCCATACAAAAATGTGAGTGATTGCTACTTTCACATTAAACTGCTACGTATTTTTGCATTTTGATAAATTTTAGGGCGTGGGATGTTGTTGCCGGCATGTTTAAGTGGCCATTATTAATACAGTATTTAGTCACTGGCGTAACAGTTGCTTTAATTCTAATTTCGGAATTAATTGTTTGTAACAAAAAGTTAATCGAAGCGATTTAATACAATACAGTACATTTTCAGCAATTTAATCTACCAGTAATTCCCCTTCTTCTTGGCCATATAATTGGAACGTGCATATGCGGCTTTTTCGCTGAAGAAATGATGCAATTGGTATATATTTATTAAATATTAGATTATACGCAGAACAATACCTTGTATTCACATGTTTGTAGAGCGAAGAATTCCGAAATGCAACTTTTTATGGGGTATCGTGGGATGGTGATGTGGAAAGCGCCAAATTTCTGATGTTTATGAATATTAATATGCATAACGCATTTAAACTTGCTCTTGCGGACTATGGAATTTATTCAAATGAACAAGTCCTTTTGGTAAGGTAATATAACCACAATGAAAATTTAATGCAAATTACATCAATGTTTTAGATTTTCAAAATGGCGTATACAATTGTAATGTATTATGTTAATATCACTGGTGAAGGCAATCCTAAATATTGATAAACGGATAATTATGATTAAGCGTGAACCAGGATCATCAGTCCAGAAAATTTTGCCAACACTCATCAATGCGATTTCTAACCACTAGATATGTAAACACTAAGCACAATAAAATAGTTTTAAGCACGCGAGTGGAGAGGTTGTATTGTTCAACAATAATAACGCTGTTAAGACAATGATCAACGCTTTATGTCAGGCATCTGCCTGTGGATGTCACAGTGTAGTAGGTAATACACTCTCGTATATTAACACATGTATGTAAAATCGTTGATTGGTTTACGAAAGATTAAGATGAGAATAATTACATGTTTAATATATTTAGAAACATGTCAAATTCAAAAATATGAGGGTATAGATATGATAACAGTTTGTCAAATATCTCCCTTCCGCCTTTTTGTCTTTTGAATTTCGCGGCTATGTACAAAGCGCTACAGAGCTCGTATCTGGCAAGTCTATACATGATTTGAAAGGTCTAGACATGACCTACAAAACGACGCTATGCATGATTAGTTTGGATATTGCGGTCAACAGTTATAGACGTGTAAACATGGAGTTCACTAACGCCAAAATTCGCGCTATTTTAAAGTTTTCCTTCGTTAAAGGCAAATCCGCTAGAGAAACGTTCCGTGAGATTAATGGTGTTTTGGGGGATGGTGCTCTCTCACTTCGAACCACGGAGGAATGGTTTCGACGATTCAGAGCCGGTGAAAACGACACCATGGATAAGCCAGCCGGCGGAAGACCTGTGACGACAAATACCGATAAAATCATGGAATACATCGAGTTAGACCGGCATGTGGCATCTCGTGACATCGCCCAGGAGATGGAAGTTAGTCACCAAACCATTTTAAACCATCTGCAGACGGCTGGATACAAAAAAAGCTTGATGTTTGGGTGCCGCATGATTTGACGCAAAAAAACCTTCTGGACCGAATCAACGCCTGCGATATGCTGCTGAAAACGGTCGTGGTTGAAGGCCGGTGAATCGTCCCAAACAGTGACCAAGCCGGGATTGACGACCAGGAAGGTTTTGCTGTGTGTTTGGTGGGATTGGAAGGGAATCATCCACTATGAGCTGCTCCCATATGGCCAGACGCTTAATTCTACCATCTACTGCGAACAGATGGACCGCTTGAAGCAGGCAATCGACCAGAAGCGTCCAGAATTGGCCAACAGGAAGGGTGTAGTGTTCCACCAGGACAACGCCAGACCACACACTTCGTTGATGACTCGTCAGAAGCTACGGGAGCTCGAATGGGAGGTTTTATTGCATCCACCATATAGCCCGGACATAGCGCCAAGTGATTACCACCTGTTCCTGTCCATGGCGAATGCCCTTGATTGTGTAAAGTTGAACTCAAAAGAGGCTTGTGTAAAGTGGCTGTCCGAGTTCTTCGCAAATAAGGAGGGGGGCTTCTACGAGAGAGGTATTATGAAGTTGCCGTCTAGATGGAAACAGATTATCGAACAAAACGGCGCATACTTGAACTAAATCCGATCACTGTAACACTTTTTATAAAGCATTGAATAAAGAGCAAAAAAGCGGAAGGGAGATATTTGACAATTAACGCAATTGCATTTACCGCGATTTTAATAGGTATAATAAAGGTAAACTCACTGCATATAGACATCCGGCGTTTCTAGCAATGCTGGGGGGATTAGTCAAATGACCTAGTACTGGTTTCACACGCCACCCTCGAATAGAGTGACATGTATACGCCAGCCTTCTGATCAGTGACATCACCCCTGCCTACCTTATTCCCATTCCTCGAAATGTTGCATAGCACGGTTTATAGAACAATTCGGAGGAGAATCCATTCGTTTATTTTGAAAAGGTTGGTGTTGGGCAGTCCTCAACTATCGGTCCATCCTTCCTGCATTGGTCTATTTGGCATCTAACAGTCAATTCCGAATCCACTGGTCCATTCCTTGGTTGTCCGTCCATTCTATATTTGTTCCTCATCTGATGTCTGGCTTGAAGTTTCACAACAATTTAAAAAGGTGAGTATCTTTTTCGTTCTCTTGCTCTTCTCTTTGTTTTTAACAATAATATTATCCAATTTCACAGTTGGCAGTTAGAAATTATTCGTTTTTCAATAATAAGCTGATATTCTCGATCCCAACAATCCTAAACATTAAAACAATTAATACTACTTTTATGTTATAAGTATTATAAGTATTTTTGTGATAATACTCACCAAATGATACTAGATTACACTATTAGTTAAAATGTTTTACTCTTTATTTCTTCGTTCAAGTTTGAAGATACGTCGGTAACGGCAATTTTAAAAAATGCTTCACGGACGAATTCTATTGGCTGCTGCCTGCTGGCAAAAAGTTAGCCGGTGAGGTTATGTCAAGAAATTAGCGCGAATTATGGCGCAGAGCGATCGAAGCGGTGTACACCCGGAAAATGTTAAAATTGAAGTGAATGACGCGAGGCAAAATGGCCGTTTTATATAGTTTTTCCATTGTGGAATTACAATACATTACAAGACAATTTATTTAAATTTTTAATTGACTCGTCAATTCCAAGAAGAAAAAACGTATGCGTTAAAAATACTTTTGCGAATTTTTCTTCAATCTCACGTTAAAACTTAAATCCAAGTGCAAAATCGTGATCCCCGCCGTCGAATACACCCCGGGGAGTGTTATCATCACGAATCTCGCTTTAATTCAAAAGTTACGCGAAGTGAGTGTTTCTAAGTGCATCAGCTATCTTTGCAGGAGTCTCACGACTTTGCTGCGCGGTAGCACGCAAATCTCAGGCTGCCGATCAATAGATCAACTTATAAACTATCAATATCTATATATATATTTTGGTGTGGATACGTTTTGTGGAGGTTGTGATCGAAGTGAAAACATGCGATGTACCTGAACCTCAAATTGCAACATTATTGTGGGCCTCCACGAGTCAATTACAATGCAGAACTAGGAAAATCGGGGTTAGAGACATCAATTAGGACCTTAGCTATGTGCTCAATGCATTTGTTGCAGTTGTATGTAGAGCTTCTTGAGGTTGTCAGTTTAGTGTATTAAAATAAGGAGTGTTTGTGGCTGCTTGTTAAGTAGTTTTAGCATAACAAGCGAGTATTTCATGTGTGTATTGATTGAAGAAGTTTAAGGAACAAACACCCTACAAAACACTTTTTAAAAAACAAAGAAGTGAATTATATCTGCAAAGATGCAGGTTAAAACTTTTAAATCACACTTTATTTGTTTAAAACTATAATTCAACACTAAATTTATACCAAGAGACATAATCCAAACATGAAATTATAATTGACAAACGTTTTTATCTAAGATTCTCGTTTTTAAATAACTTTTTTCTGTTACAGACTTACTTTGACACCTGATATTTCCTCTACTTTTATTGGTGGTGATAACAGTGAAAGGAGAGGGAAATTAACAATTCTGACTTCAGGTGCTTCTCAAACAAGTTAAGATATCCATACAAACGTCTTGTTTTCATTCAGGGTTGGTTAAATTTCGTTTAAACTGCAGTGAGGTGACGGGAATTGGCTCGCTTGCTGAATAATTTGATGTATTCCAGTTGATAACTTTGGATGTGATAAGAAATTCTAAATTTTGATTGCTGAGTCAGATTCAGCAGAGTCAAATACAGGTAAGAGCATATTATAAATTTTTGTTGTGTTCTAATTGGATTTGCTTTGGGATTGTGCTAGGGGAGATCATTTGCATCAATTAATGTCATTTTAGTTAATTTTACTAATATAATTAAAGAATTAAAATATAATTATGAGATAATTCTGTGTGTTACTGATAACAAATGTGAATATGTTTAATTGATGATTTGACAACATTTGAATTTGAAACTACATGTGAAGGTACTTAATATTATATTAATGTACCTACACATCACTGTAAATCTTATTGTAGAATTGCAAAAAGATCAATTTCGAATTGAAAGTGTCGAGAGGCCTACGACAATAAGTGTGACATTTTAAAATCCCAAAATTGTCTCTTTGATGAGTAATACATGTTAAGCTAGCAATGCAATTCAGTAATTGAAACACTTAGAACTTAGTAGGTAATACTCTACTATCATTAAACATCTTTACCTATTATACAGTAGAGTAAAGTCAACAAAGTAACACATAATATCATATCTATACCATCATATTTTTGAATTTGACATGTTTCTAAATATATTAAACATGTAATTATTCTCATCTTAATCTTTCGTAAACCAATCAACGATATTACCTACATCTGTTAATATACGAGTGTGTTTTGCCTACTACACTGTGACATCCACAGGCAGATGCCTGACATAAAGCGTTGATCATTGTCTTAACAGCGTTATTATTGTTGAACAATACAACCTCTCCACTCGCGTGCTTAAAACTATTTTATAGTGTTTAGTGTTTGCATATCTAGTTATAAGAAATCGCATTGATGAGTGTTGGCAAAATTTTCTGGACTAATGATCCAGGTTGACGCTTAATCATAATTATCCGTTTATCAATATTTAGGATTGCCTTCACCAGTGATATTAACATAATACATTACAATTGTATACGCCATTTTGAAAATCTAAAACATTGATGTAATTAGCATTAAATTTTAATTATGGCTATATTACTTTACCAAAAGGACTTTTTCATTTGTATAAATTCCATTGCCCGCAATAGCAAGTTTAAATGAATTATGCATATTAATATTCATAAACATCAGAAATTTGGCGCTTTCCACATCACCATCCCACGTTACCCCATAGAAAGTTGCATTTCGGAATTCTTCGCTCTACAAACATGCGAATACAAGGTATTGTTCTGCGTATAATCTAATATTTAATAAATATATACCAATTGCAACATTTCTTCAGCGAATAAGCCACATAAGCACGTTCCAATTGTATGGACAAGAAGAATGGGAATTACTGGTAGATTAAATTGCTGAAAATGAATTGTATTGTATTAAATTGCTTCGATTAACTTTTTGTAACAAACAATTAATTCCGAAATTAGAATTAAAGCAACTGTTACGCCAGTTGCTAAATACTGTATTAATAATGGCCACTTAAACATGCCGGCAACAACATCCCACGCCCTAAAATTTATGAAAAAGCAAAATTACGTAGCAGTTTAACGTGAAAATTGCAATCACTCACATTTTTGTATGGAATTGCAATTTGAATGCCTTTTTTAGTTTCTGTAGTCGAATCGCTTTATTGTTGGTTTGACTACTTTGTTTTAAAATTTCTTTAAACTTTTTTACACTAACTTGCGTGAGTATCATTAAGGAACATAGGAAACTGCAGCATGTTACTAACGCAATATACAAATACCAATAAACCACAAATATTAGCAAATTGAAGACTTCTCGATAGGGCCGTTGACTTAAATCAACGAAAAAAATCTGCAATTATATTTTGGTTAATTCCGTGAACCTTGTATACTAAAATATTGAGCATTATTACACTAGGATACATAATTCCGCAAATATTTCTTTGAGAATAGTCTCCACAATATTCTACTTCCTTGGTTATAACTATAGTAACAAGAATCAAAAAACCCCCTCTAACGAAAAAGTTGTGGAGTGAATTGCAAATCTTAAGAATATATGATAATTTTGAATGCAAATGTACGAAAACCTGTAGTTCCATTAAATCCCAGACAGCCTGTCCAGGTTTAGCTGCAGATTTTAGACAATTTAATATCACTATACCGAATATTGATGTAATAAACCATGACAAACTTAGAGTAATATCTGAAATCTCTAGTCCTGAACCTTAAATAATATCAATTAATTCAGTTAAAAAATATTTGTATTTCAATTTACTTACGATAAGAAAGAAATAAATAGTTTAAATTACCAAAAGCTGCAATCAGAATGAGGCAGTTAGATGACCAAAAAATTAAAGCAGATTTGAACGCATTATTGGTAACCCAATAGTACTTTTCAGCTGTCATATAGTTATGAAAATTTGTTCTTGATATAAGCATCGTGGATATCAATTTTTTTCACTATGATTTATATAAACTCTTCTAGGTAGAAATTTGAGGTGAGTGTAAATTTGTTCATACGCAAGGCATTTATAATAGCTGACTCCTAAATTATTTAATTATTTCATATTCCATGCTTGCGTATAAACAAAAGATTGTCTTCATTAAATATCAATTAGAAACATATTATAGCATAAATAATTATGTGTAAATACTTTTCTATTACAGTATTTTGGTTTGCACCCAATGGGAATAAAATATTCACTGTATTTGAAAATTTGTTTTGTTTTTCATAACACATTTTAAAATGTATAGAGAACCTCTTGAACTACCAAAGAAGCATAAATAAACGCAAATTACGTTTGTTTTTATAGAAAGTGCATAGAAAGTGCAAAAATATATAAATATATAACGTTACGAAAAGTTACACTTTGCCTATCTTAATATTTCATTCGTTTAACTTGCGTCATCATTTCAATGAAATGCGTAAAGACATTTGAGCAAAATTATTATAAATCTTAGTTGGTATTAGAGATAACTATACGTTACCCATTCGAAACATTGTATACACAAATTAATTACGTTTTGGAATAATACTGTACATAATTAAATCAGACACTTTCGTAGCGACTTGCTTCTGAACTTACCTAAGGAAATATGCGAAAAATAAATAAGTCTAATCATAGTGTGTAATACTAAACCGTTACGATTATTAAAAGCGTGTTTTCTTTTCAATATTCCAACAAATAATTAAGTAACATATGTTTTTGAGTTCTTAACAGGTGTGATTGTGACGTCGTCATTGCAATATGGCGCCAGTAAATATCATATATTGCCTACGTTTCAATAAAATAATAAACATGTTCAAAAACGTTGCTTCTTCAGATGGAAACGGTTGCTTTTCCTTTGGAACACTGATAAATAATTAACTCTAGTCTAAAATGTTATTAAAAGAACATAATGTTCGTTAGTGTGTAGGTTTTAGGGTAGTTATGGCACAAGTACTCTGTGCTTGGCCATTCCTATACGCAATTAGGACTCGATATACTCTTAAGTGATTTATATCTATATGTGCTAAATCTAATTACCAGAGGGCATACTTATTAATAACAACATAGTTTTGCCTCGGTGAATATTTCATAAATATTTTCTGAACTTCTGCGTCTGATAATTACTTTTAAGTATATACAATTAAATTATTCTCTATGCGTCGTTGATTTAAATTAGTTTCCTTAGTTAGATGTATTTCAGTATAAAACTTTATTATTTGGGGTGTTAATTATTGTAGTTTTCTATTAGTCGCTAAGTTTTATTGCCTTTACGCCCTTTTAACTTATAAACGAATATTAACGCAGTTGCACTTCACGAAGTCATTTAAAGTCTATACAACGTTCTGGTTAAATGTTAATACAATTAGCTTTAGTCATCAGACAACTTGTTTATTCACGCGAACGCAGAGTATCAGTCTTTCCGTTGAGACTCATGGCGCCTATGCTGCTCAAGTTGTTCAGACTGCTCATGCTTAAGCTGTTGAGCGTGTTGTTCAGCCTTTCTATAGCGGCGGCGGCAGCAGCTGCGGCGCTGGTTTCATGTGCGCCACATGTTGGTGGGTGACGAGTACGCAGGAAGCCCAGACCCATCCTATATGCCAGCGTACTCATTGCTATTGCACCGTCATGGGCGTCAAGAGCAGAAACAACTGCAGATAGAGCTACCAGCACAGAAAGAACGCTGAAACCAGGAACAGGCATACAGATGCCGTAAACCACTTCTTCACGGATCTTGCCCTGGAAGACGGTCACAGCTTCTGCTTTGTTGTTAGGACTGAAAGCCAAGTCTGCCTCGGAAATAACTTCGTACAGACCCGAGACACCTACGTCGGCACTGCGCACTTTTCTGTCGGATACCACCATTGATCGACGCTTGCGTTTTGTGAGAGTCAACATGGGTTGAGATGAAGCATTGCGTGTTTCGCGACTGTTTATTATTGGGACGTTGTCGGGCAGCAAACGTGGAGCACCTAAGGGCATTACTTCTTCATGATCAAAGTGGCGAGGCCCATGCCGGAATTTATCTTGTTCCATAGTATACGCCTCCTTAAACAAATTACCTACATTATACAATGTTTATTCACTTTATAATGTTTTATTTTAAAACTTACTTTGTGAGGAAATGATGAACCAATGTTTTAATCTTCAGGTATGTCACCTTTTCTAGAATTTACTACATTGTCAATATTTGCTAGGTTCGCCGTAAGTTCTTCCAAACTGGCTGTTTGAATACCAAATTTGAGGCAGTTCTAGTACGATTTCGGGGGCGCCAAGGTGGCATAGCAAAGAATGGCTCACGCCCTATTTAAACTTGAAAAAATAATAAAAATCGCACGAAGGGTTTCTGAAATACACACGAATGTCCACCGTGTCTTTCGAAAATTCATAAAAAAATGTAAAAATTTGAGAGCGATTTTAAGGCACTTCTGACGCGATTTCAGAAGGCGGCAATGTAGCGCCGTATAAAATGGCTCTCGCCCCATTTAAATTTGAAGGAATAATTAAAATCGCACACAAGGTTTCCGAGATAGGACGAATTTCCATCGCGTGTTTCGCCAATTCATAAAAAATGTAAAAGTTTGAGAACGATTTTAAGGCACTTCTGGTGCGATTTTGGTGGGCGCAATGTCGTATCTTATAAAATGGCTCTCGCCCTATTTAATTTTGAAACAGTAATTAAAATCGCACAAAGCGTTTCCGAGATACAGACGAATTTCCACCGCGTACTTCAAAAATTCATAAAAAGGTAAAAATTTGAGAGCGATTTTATGGCACGTCGGGCGCGGGTTCGGGAGGGGGCAATGTAGCCCTATAAAAAATGGCTCTCACCCTATTTAAATTTAAAAAAATAATTAAAATCGCGCGAGCGGTTTCCGAGATGCAAACGAATTTCCACCGCGTGTTTCATAAATTCATAAAAAATGTAAAAATTTGAGAGCGATTTTTTAAGGCACTTCTGGTGCGATTTCGGGAGGCGGCAATGTAGCACAGTATAAAGTGGCTCTCGCCCCATTTTAATTTGAAAGAATAATTAAAATTGCACAAAAAGTACCTGAGATACGAACGAATTTCCACCGCGTGTTTCGAAAATTCATAAAAAATGTAAAAGTTTAAGATCGATTTTAAGGCACTTTTAGGAATCGGCAATGTCGCACCGTATAAAATGGCTCTCGGCCAATTTTAATTTGAAGGAATAATTAAAATCGCACGAACGGTTCTCGAGATACGGGCCAATTTCCATCGCGTGCTTCAAAAATTCATAAAGATTTTAAAAGTTGAGAGTGATTCTAAGGCACTTCTGGCGTGCAGGGGACAGCAAAGTCGCATCTTATAAAATATCTCTCGTTCTATTTAATTTTGAAACAATAATTCAAATCGCACAAACTGTATCCGAGATACAGACGAAATTCCACCGTGTGTTTCGAAAATTCATAAAAAGTGGAAAAGTTTGAGAACAAACTTAAGGCAATTCTGGAGCGATTTTGGGGGGCGGCAATGTCGCACCATATAAAATGGCTCTCGGCCTATTTAAATTTGATAGAATAATTAAAATCGCACGAACCGCTTCCGAAATACAGACAAATTTCCACCGAGGGTTTCAATAATTCATAAAAAAATGTAAAAGTTTGAGAAGGATTTTAAGGCACTTCTGGGCTATTTAAATTTAACAGAATAATTAAAATCGCCCGCACGGTTTCCGCCTTTCAGACGAATTTTCACCGCCTGTTACGAAAAAATAATAAAAAAATATAAACTTTTTAGAGTGATTTTAAGGCACTTCCCGCAATATTTCTGGTATCGTAATTGTAAGATTAACTCACGCGCTATCAGAATCAGAAGAGAACAAGCAAATATTGCAAATAGTTCCCGAGATATGAGCCAATTTCCAGGAAGAAGCTGTAAAACGTACTGTTAGGAAAAGCTCTCGAGCTATTCCTACCTGAAGAAAGCATGCAAATAGTTCTACAGGTTGAGTTATTATACTGTAAACTATTTTGCTGCTGTTAAAATATGTGTGCCCAGACATTTAAATCCCAAAGTTCAATAT